GCATCACCAAACTGTTCTTCCACGCTTCAATCGGCCAAAACATTTTGATCCCGATCCAGACCCAGACTCAATACTTGTCAATTCCCAAAATATTCTTCGGAACCTGTGTACACGATGTCTCTTCTTACAAGCATAAATTAACTCAGAAGGCAATTCTCTGTATGGTCGTCTCTCTCTAACCCCCAACTCCAACCAGGCTTCCTCGCAAATGTCGGGCTAACAGAACCCTGTCGAGATACAAGCTGATGGGCCTCCTTGGAGTCATTGGGAACTCAGTCGCTGGGGCACAATCATTCCAGCTCTCCAGTGACCTTGCTTTCAGAAAACAGCTTCGAAGGTATCGATCAATGCAGGGAGAACTGAAGACACACAGTCTCACGGCACCACACATGCTGGCTCTCCAACAACGCATCCAATCTTCTAATGAATCCTTTGCACAAGTCACTTCTTATTGCCCATATGTCTTCAGTGCTATTGTTGATAGTGGATGTTCCTATTCTTGCACCAATACTTTCAGTGATGTTGACCCAAATCTTCTATCAGAAAGCTTTCCGAACCAATTATCCTAGGAGGTATCGCTGGAGGTCTGAGCATTGAGTACATCGGCACTACTGTTGGGAGACTTTGGATGAGCAAGCAAATGTTGTGTCATTTCGGGAGCAGTTCTTATTCATCCTGATCTTCCAAACAGACTCCTAAGCCCTCAAGCTTTCTTGTCCCATCAAGGACTTGACCCAAAAACATGCAAACTCAGCGATCACTTCAGAGTCTACCACGACCATGCTGAATGGCATACGGGAGGAAAGAAAATGCTACAAATGAAGTTTGACTCCAGTTTTCTACCACGACTTACTCTGTTCCCAAAGGGAAACACTCTCTTCTCTACAAGCAATGACTTCAGTTCTACATACCAACAACAGAAACCTTTCTATTTTTGAAAAATCTGGCTGCAATGGCATTACAAGTTGGGACATCTGCCTTCTCCCATGTCCAATCTCTTGGGTTGGGTGGTTTCTTAGACAAGAAGGGTCTCGGTTTGCTTAGAAGCAAGGTCGGGGAGCATCCTAAATGTGCCGCTTGTCAATATGGAAAACAAGTCAGGCAACATGATCACACACTGTCACCAAAAGCCCCAGACAAACAGGGAGCCCTCAAGAAAGAACAATTGGAGCCGGGTATGACAACCTTTAGTGATCAATTGGAGTCAAGAGTCAGAGGGAGATGTTTCACACTGCCGGAAGGGACAAGATAGCAATAAATTCGTGGAACCTCAATATTTTTGATGCTGCATCGCTGTCATTTTGCCCACCACCAAGTTACTTAAATGCTTCTGATTCTATCATGGCCAAGGAAGCATACGAGCGATGGTGTCTCGAACATGGGGTTTGTGGTTCAATCATATCACACGACAATGGCATCTACAAAAGCCAAGCATATGTCCAACATCTTAGGGACCACCATCAATCAATTAAATATTCTGCGACCGGTGCCAAATGGCGAATGGGGTTTCTGAGGGAGCCATTAGAATTGTAGTAACCAAAGACTAGAACAATGATGATCCATGCGCACTTCTATGGCCGGAAGTTGATGATGAATCCCTTGTGGCCCTTGGCAGTCTCTCATGCAGCTCACCTTTACAACCACACTCCGAATTCAGTTACGGCATTGCTCCCATTGAGATATTTTCCAGAACTGTCAGTGATGGTCAAGTCATCAGAAATGCCCATCCATGGGGATGCCCTGCATATGTTTTGGAACCCCGGCTTACAGTGAAGGAGGAAAGATTCCAAAATGGCAGCCCAGGTCCAGGAGAGGACAATATGTTGGCACCTCACCTGTCCATTCAGAAAATATTGGCTTTGATCCGCAACCTTACAACCGGATACCTTTCCCCTCAGTACCATCTTGTCTATGATGATTGGTTTGAGACAGTTTACTCTTCAGAAGATCAACCACCTCTAGAGTGGACCAACATGTGCATCTTCAACGCTTCGAGACCCTATTTGATGAGGACACTCCACCTCCCTTAGCAGACGAGTGGCTTACTCAGAGGAAAAGGCCATCAACCAGCACCGATCTCATCTTCAGAAGCTTCGACATGGGAGAAATTATGGCAGGATGACAAGAGCAAAGATAAAGGGATGATCTTCATTTTCAAGCTCCGTCTCCAGCACAGCCCCAGGTTTCACACAGGGAGATTCCAGATCGTCTGCCACCACTTCAGACTCAAATTTACCCTCTTCTTGGGACAGGGAGCCTCCCACCATCAGCACTCCCACCACTGATGTCCACATCGAGCCAATCTCTGCCCTCGTCGTAATCCCAGTAGAACAGCCCAAGCAAGAAGCTGAGACTCTGAACATGGACCCAAAGTTAAGACATATGCGCGTCCTTCATCCCTGTTGAGTTGTGCTTTAGCTTTGACCTTTGGAGTACTCCAATTTCTGGGCACATGATGCAATCTCAGGTGAATGGTTATTCACCTTTGACCAACACCCAGGAATCATTTCATCCTGGCATTCTTCAAAGCCCACTGGCTCTCAAGGCCAAATTTCCAAAGACCCTGATCTCCCTCTCTGAAGGAATCTCTGATGGGACCACATGCAGACATTTCTGGGCAGCAATGGACAAAGAAATTGCCAGCCTTGAAGGCAAAGGGACTTGGCATCGTACACGTTCTTATGCCTCACACTAAAGGCGGTTCTGGAACATGGGTGCAAGAATTAAGAGGTTACCAGCGGACAATAAATAAGTTCAAATCTAGATGGTGCTGAAGAGGAGACCTTCAGTCCTATGAAGGCGTCGCTACTCTCCACTTGTTGTTGGCCACCGTTAGAGCCGGTCTTCTTCTTGCAGCTGCACATGGATGGGAATCGAGACAAGTTGTTTTACCTTGCTTTCTGTCAAAGCCCTCAACCTGTCGACCAGCCACTGTACATGGAATTGCCTCAGTACTACCGACCCAAAGGATATGAAGGAGGACTGTGTTTTGAAACTTGACAAGTCCATCTATGGGCAGACCGATTCACCTAAATTATTTTATGAGCATTTATGTCGCGGGATGATCCAACTTGGTTTCGAAACCTCGGACGCAGACCCATGTTTGTTTATTCATAAGAGCATCAACTCATGGTATTAAATTATTGTGATGACCAAATCTGGCTCAGTCCAGACAATGATCTGATTGAGTCCATGTTGGGCAGCTCCAGAAACTTGGATAGACCTCACCATGGAAGAAAAAGGTGACATCTTTGGATTCCTCGGCATTAATTTTGAAAGACAGGGAGACAATTGTAGCTTACTCAAAAGGGCTCATATAAAGTCATCGAATATACTGGTATGTCTGAGCTAGCAAGAAGCTTTCTCTGCCGCCACCGATCCTCTCGGAGCTGACAAACTGGGGGCCCCATTTGAAGAAGAGTGGAGCTATCCAGCTGCAGTTGGGAGCTTCTTTATATTGCGTCGAACACTCGCCCAGACATCACATTTAGTGTGCACCAGGTAGCACGATTAAGTCACAATCCCAGGCATCCCATGCTCAAGCAATCAAACGTATCATTGGTATTGATTGGCACAAGTGAAAAGGCATTTGTTTTAGCCCTAAACTTGATCAGGGACTTGACTGTTGGGTCGATTGCTGACTTCGCCGGATTTATATGGATATGAGGATGAACAGGATCCTGTGTCCGTAAAGTCTCGCACTGGATTTGTCCTACTCTGTTGGGTGCCCTATTATCTGGTCCAGCAAGCTACAGACTGATATTACTTTGAGCTCCACTGCTGCTGAGTATGTTGCCTTCAGCATGTCAATGAGGGAGCTGCTTCCTATGGAGCTTTGCTCAAAGAAATTGGTACAAACTGAATATGCGGTAATTACTGACAGTCTCGTGCTCTACAGTGTTCGAAGACAACCAAGGTTGCTTGTCTCTTGTGAATGTTCCCAAATGTCTGCACGCAACAAGTATTTGCATTGAAGTACCACTTCTTCAGGTCCAATATCGGGGAGTCGAAGGGCATCGTGGCTAAGTATATTCCGACTCTGGAACACGGGCCGACATTTTCACTAAGGGTCTTCCGGCTCCACAGTTTGCTGTCATTCGGAGCTCCTCATGGGATGGTAATTTACCTCAGCACTTTGCTGGGACTCTCTCCTATCGTTTCTTGCTCAGCTTATTTCAGCTGTAAGGGAGTGCGACGGGATACAGCTTACAATTCAGCTTTACAGCTTTACAATTAGCAGGCTTATTCTAGAAAATAATCAATAACTGCTCACTTATTTGGAAATACAAAGTTTACATCTCTTAGATCGTTAGATTAATCAATCCACAATGGTATTGTCGCAGATACCAATCAACCCAGGGTCGAGAGCAACTCATGCCATGACACTTTTGCTTGTTCTAGCTAAATGATAGCTAGAAAAGCAATACGTTACAGATCGTCTATTGCAATCTCGAGCAGAGCAAACTGCATCGATCCCAAGTAGCCACTCCCTGGGATTTCATGGGGCACTAGATTTGGACTATTGCACGGTTGTCTTCTCGCTGCAGAGGGGTTGGGTGGTGCAAGGCCGCCAAGTACAAGGTAACACCAAATCCTCAACTCTAACATAGTCTCTTATACAGTTACTGCTAAGCGTTATGGGCTAAGTGGATCTTGGTCTAGGCGAAGTTGGCGGCGGTTTGGGTGGAGCTTAGGATGGCTTGGGTGATTTGGAACGCCTCCTGTTACTGGGGCTATTTCTAGACGATGCTCCATGTTCGTCTCCTGATGATGGCTTGGGCGATTTGGAACGCCTCCTACCGCTTCCACTCTTCCTGGAAGTGGTTTCATTACCATCGTTGCCACTAGAAGACGACTTGGATGCTGTGGAACGTCTCTGACTGCCATTCGTTTTGGCAGTGGATTCATTATCGTTCTTGCCGCCTGACGACGACTTGTGTGCCGTGGAGCGTCTCCTACCCTCAACATCGTCCTCGTCACTAGATGAAGGCTTTGGTGACGTCGAACGTCGCCTGCTGCTGCCACTCGTTCTCTTGGATGCATTGCCGGTATCGGAAGATCGCTTGGGTGATTTGGATCGTCTACTACCACCACTTTCGCTCTTTCTCGTAGACGCAGTTTCACGACTATTGCCAGAAGAAGATGGCTTGGGTGACGTCGATCGGTTTTTGTTGATGCCAGCACTGTTGGAAGACCGTTTGGGTGAAGTAGATCGTCTCCCCGAACCGCTGCCACTGTTACGTTTTCCGCCTGAGGAGCGACCATTACTGTTGGCATCATCATCGTCATCTTTGTCCAATTCGGACAGAACCTTGACTTGTCGTGAACGCAAAGCCTCCAGTTTGGACGCTTCCACAAAGACAGTTCCAACAATGCCACCACTGGTATCTGCGCACATGGATTGTAGATTCTCCTTCACGGTGCGCCGACGAAGCTAATTCAACTTTGCGTCATCTCTGCCATTGTGGTTGCTGTCTTTGGTGTCGTCGCCATCAAGTTTATTGTTGTCGGCCGTTTCCACCTTGTCGTTGTTGTCTTGCTTTTCGTTTTGTTCCAGTGTCGTGTAGCCATGGACGTGCACTCGCTTGGGCATGGCCTTCAACCCCCTTGTCCACGTAATGATACTCTCCCTCTTCTGTCGAATCTTGAGCTTCTTTTTCATCTTGGCTCCCACGGCCGCTACCACCAACATGGTGCTGCTGGTGGCATGATAATGTTCCTTCTTGTACTTGTGCCTGATGAACTTGGCCCGTCGCTTCTTTTCTTTCTCTTTGTTCGATAGCACTAATTGTTTGTCAAAGTCTTGTTGGGTGAGGGTGGCTTCCCAAATGGAATTGACATGATCATTTCCACTCTCCTGCAAGATGGTAATATCTTCTGGTGTCCCTGTGATAAATTAACAAAAGAAATACTGATACGAGTGAGAGGATCGCACCACACCATTGCATTGCACTTGTGTCGAGCAACCTCCATTCCTTACACTCATGTTGCATTTTGGCATACTTGATGCGGCATCGTTTCGTTCCCAGTTCAAAGTGATGATGCTGAGCACAGGATGCACAGACCAACACAGCCACGTGCAATTCTTTGCTTGTTGTTTCTCCGTTTCCACTGCTTTTGGTGTGGTTGTTGTTGTCGTCGCGAGCAGTACTCTTGAGAAAGGAAACCCAAACAGGCATGGTGGCAGGGCAGTCGGCACATACTTGATTTCCCTGTATCATGGCAATCTCTTTCATACGTTCCTTGTCTTTCGGACTCATAACCGCCTCTTTGCTGGAAGGATTGTCGTGATGTTCGTCCTTCTTCTCGTCTACTATGATTTGCTGTGGTTCCTCCTTCTTCTTGTCGACTTTGACTTGCTGTGGTTCCTCCTTGCTTGTCGACTTTGACTTGCTTTGGTGGCTGCTCCATCTTCTTGTCGTTGCCATCCTTCTTCTTGTCAGATGCTTGCTTGGATTTGGATTTCCGTGTCCACATGCTGTCACTGGTGACTCGACGATCGCGTCGTTTCGTTTTCTCCTTGTTGTTGGCTATTTTCTGCTTGATTTTTTGTTTCATCTTGGCTCCCACGGCGGCAACCATCAACATGGTGCCATTGGTGGCATGATACTTTTCCCTCTTGTACTTGTGTTTGATAAACTTGGCTCGTCGCTTGTTTTCTTCTTCCGTGTCTGATAGCACCAACTTTTTGTCAAAGTCTTTTTCCGTGAGGGAAGCTTCCCAAATGGAATTGACATGATGATTGCCACTATCTCGTAAAATGAGAATATCTTCCGAGGACCCTGCAAGAAAAGAAAAGAAAAGCATGAAAGAAACAGTGGAATGTTGTGAGAACCTTGCCCTTCCTCTGATGATGCTAGCTCAGTTCTGAAAGGTCCTTACATTCATGTTGCATTTTGAAGTTCTTGATACGGCATCGTTTGGTTCCCAACTCAAAATGATGATGCTGGGCACACTGTGGACAGACCAACACGGCCACGAAGATTTCTTTGGTTCCTCCACTAGCACTGCCACCATCACCATCTTTTGTGGGAACTGTACTCTTGAGAAAGGAAACCCAGAGTGGTTTGGTGGAAGGGCAGTCTGCACAGACATCATTTCCGCGTGTCGAGGAAATCTGCTTCCTGCGCTCCTTGTCCTTATCATCATCACCCCGACGATCACGATGCCTGCTGCTCCTGCTGTCACCATGCCGATGGCGATCCCCATCTTTCATTGCTTCCTCTTCTTCCCTTCTGCTGCTGCCGTGCGCCATGTTGTCTTTTACTACTCGCTATCTACGTTTCAGAGGGTTCAAAAATATGCAGAAGTTTATGGAAGTGAGACCGAAGCCCACTCGACACAGGTACTAATACCGGTACCGGTACATTGTACTGGTCATCTCTTTTGCGGTGTTCTGGTTTGTACCACTGGTGATTGTACTCGTGAGAGATACATGTCAGAGGTCTACTTTTAAGTTTAAAAGTAGAAGAGTGCTTCGGAAACAGATTTTTGGTCAGCAGTGACGAGTCACCGCTTTTGCAATTGAACTCTGGACCTGGACACATTAATTAATGAGCTACTTAACTGCCCACTCTAAGGCGGTTTCAGTACGGATGCTGTTGTTGCCTTATCTCTTTGTTCGGTGGAAAGGCGCTTCTGGTCTGTGAGTGCACAGTAGCTTTAAGGACAATAATGCTTTCGCATCTAATACTAGTAACTAATAATTATCAGTCCTTTTTCCATACGACGTACTAGCGACTGGAGTAGAGTACTGGACACATTTTATTAAAATGAGCTAAATGTATGAACCTGTGACTTTCCGTTCGGTATTCGAATTGTTCATGGAGCTCACCGCAAACTGCAAAATGTCTCATCTACGGTCCAGCTCTTCTAAAGGGCGAAAGTGCGCGAACGACATGTAGTAGACTACCAGGTAGCTAGTCTTGCTGTCTTGATCTGGTTTGCCAAGTTTTCCCTCACATGCTGACGGTTCGAGCAGCAAAGTTGCGTGGACTACTGTGAACTCTCATCGCAGCCTCCCCTCGAACCCAAACGCAACATCTACGGTAAAACTCATCAATCCAATCTCTGATCCATCGAAGTATTGAGCAGGATGTCCACTCCTTATGTTACTGGAAGCAGTACTGATGCTGGTGGGATGCTACCAAGTAGCAGTGATCCATGGCAAGAGCTACTGCAAGATGTCGAGGATAATTCGGTAGCGGAGCCACCTAGTGTGATCGATGTCTCCAGTAGACCAGAAGACATGAGCTGTGCTTCTTCTGTCACAACTCATTTCCAAGATGCCGAACTGTTTGTCCCTCACATGTACCCATCAGCACAGAATATACACGATACCGAAGATGTAGAAGATCCTACCTTTCAGCCAGTCGCACAGCAGCCAAGAGGATCGACAACAACACCACCACCTTCAGGTCTGCTGCCACCACTGCCCGAGGAATCCTCGCAAGACCCCACTGAAAGCAAGACTATCACTGCAAGCCACCAACACTCGGACGAAATTAGAATCCTCAAAGAACAAGAAAAAGCCACCAAAAAGGGGGCACCAACCGATGTTTCGTCCCCTACCTTGGAATCACGAATCAACCAGAAAACCCAACTATACTCGGTTCGACCAATTTCCTTTGAATCAGTTGGAGACACTGGCATTGATCCGGCCATTGAAAAGGAACCGGAACATTTGCAGGGTGCGCTTTCCAAAAAACTGTCTGATCAGAATGGCGCTGTTGGTCACCACAAACCAGTACAATGCGCTGACTGGGATGATCTGGCCATTTCAGAAAAGGTTCCTACTGCCAATGACGGCGCAACTTCCTCACTATTACCAAATCCGATTCAAGAAATCCCAATGCCTATGGATGCGCCACCCCTCTCTAGGAGCACTGGTGCTGCCGTTCACGAACAGAGTGTGCCAGGAGCCCATCCCATCTCTGGACTCAATTCTACTATGGCCACGGAAAATATACAGCAACAGCCTAACATGAGCTCAGCTATTGCGGATGAAGAAAACACAGCACCACTTCCACAAGAGTCGCTGACAGAGGCAAGACTGGTAGCAACTGCTAAGGACGACCTGCCCGTTGCCATAGCTGAGGATGGCATTGGGAAGGGCCGGCAGCAAAGCTACTGGCCATTTTATCTCATGGGAAGCATATGCGTCCTTTTGGTTGTGGCTGCTATCATTGTGGGGGCTGTTTGTGGCACCGGACACTGCAGTCAGACAGTCTATGTGGATGGCAGCACTACCATGGCACCCACCACAACCAGAGATGCTGTTGAGGCACCCAAGATTGAAGTTACCTTAACTCTCATTTTGGGAAAGGACTACTTCCGACAGGTGGAAGAATTTGGAGCAGGAACTGATAGCGACCTTTCTCGATTCTTGCTGGAAACTAGGCTAAAGGCGTTTGACTGGATCATCAATCAAGACCCAATGCAATTGGAGTACAATGCTCCTAATTTGGTTCAGCGTTTTCTGCTGGTGCTCTTCTACTATCAGACCACAAGGCACAAGCCATGGAAAGAGTGCAATCCAGCAGGAATTTCTCAAGCGAGTGCAACAACCAATTTTTGCTACCAGCCAGTGCATTTAACTGGTGAAGCAACATCACTTATATGGGGTGATCAGTGGCTTTCTCCCAGTCATGAATGCCAGTGGGCTGGAGTGGACTGCCAATCAGAGAAGAGGACAGTGGCTGAGCTACGCATACGTAAGTCTTGAGATAAAGCGTTGGCATGCATTTGATTATGCTTGTTTCTGACAACGCAAACCCTTGGATGCTCAGATTGGAATCATCTCAATGGCCCTCTTCCCTGGGAGGTCACAAGATTGCCACTGCTGAGGACTTTATGGCTTAACTCCAACATGCTTACTGGAGCACTCCCCCCCAGACTCTTTTCCAAAAATGCAGGTTATGCCCTGGATTATCTTGATTTGCGCTGGAATCAATTTTCTGGCACTATTCCTGCAGAATGGGTTGCAAACCTTCTTGAAGGAAATGGGGTACTTGCCTATCTTCAACTGAACCAGAACGCGTTAACCGGGAGGATTCCATCAGAGTTGGGCCTACTCTCTTTGAAAAGCCTCATACTCACAAGCAACACTCTGACAGGTTCTATTCCACGAGATTTATTCTACCAAACTTCTCTAGAATGGCTCTTTTTGGAGGGAAATGATGTGAGTTACTGCTGGTAATGCTGTGTGCAGAAGCAACCACCCATGCATAGTCAGCCAAGCTTAGCTTCTTTTTGGTCCTCTCTGCTGATTTATAAGCTCACTGGGACATTGCCAAGTGAAATTGGGCTGCTCACCAATTTGAGTAACGTGAACTTGAATTTCACACAGATTTCTGGGGCTGTGCCCTCAGAGATTGGCGTGTTGAGCAAGCTTGTTGATCTGATTCTCTCTAACACCAAGATGCAAGGGACAATCGCAGAAGAACTCTACAAGGGACTTGGCAGTCTGGAAGTTTTGTCGGTTAGCAATTGCAACTTATCTGGTACAATCAACACATCACTTGGCCTAATGACACATCTCAAAAGGCTGCACTTCGCCAACAATCACTTCCATGGCACCATTCCCAATGAGATTGAGGCCTTGACACAACTAGCTGAATTTTTGGTGAATGGGAATGATCTATCTGGCACAGTTCCAATCTCTTTCTGCCAGACTCGTTATGCTGGGGAAGTAGCTTCCAAGGTTGTGGCGGATTGTTTGCCCAATACAGAAACTGGAATTCCTGCAATCCAGTGTTCATCCGATTGCTGCACCAGTTGTTGTGATGAGACAGGAGTTTGCCTTTCGAACTGAGTTGTGTTTCCAGCGCTGGCATACCACACCCCATATTCAACACGATTCGATTCCAGTGAGTCACTCACTCATTATCTCGACGCAACCATCAGTAGCTTGGCACACAACACCACAGCTTCAACCATGGCGTCAGTACTGGTGCTGGTGAGACATGCTGATTGGGTGGTGCGGCGATGATGGACTCCTCAACATCTTGTCCTTTGTGGGAGGAAAGACATTTCCGAGCCTTGGATCATGGCAGCTCATTCACGATTCGATTCTCGCAGCAAAGAATTGTCTCAACAGAGGAGAACACCGAAACGAAAGGATAAGATGCGCAAGATTCAAAAGAAGGAGAACACGAAAACACGCTGGTCTATGTTTCTGCTACATGTAGCTACATGCATCACTGGTATTACGGCTACGTAGCTTGCTGGCTTAGACTGTTGCAACTGGATCCAAAGTTCACGGCAACATCTGGCTTTGGCTGTGATCATCCTGTGGGCTGTGATTCTCAGCCAAGGAGGGCGAACAGTCTAGCCAGCTAGTTGAGATGTACGTACCACTCCATTCTACGAGGAAGTAGGTTCCGCGGGATCACTAATGTAACGCAAAATAAAATGGAAATAGATGCAGATCGCAATTTCCGGCCCTTCCCTGCATGCAAAGTCAAAGGGTTTTAGAGAAGGGCAGTGGTCTGTTTGCCGGGATACTCAAGGAGGATGAATGGATTTAGGGGCCAAAACTAAGGTATAGCGTGACTGGAGATCGACATGACCATGGAAGCACGCCGCAACAGTTTCTTCAAGTCCAGGAATGTATGTAGGGTTTCTTCTGAGGTGCTTTGGCTTTGTCCAGGTGTGGCTCCCACCAATTACGTAGGTACGGGCATCCAAGTCTTCATGGCATGGGCGCTTTACGCGATGATAGGGTGCTTTCATGTGACCGTAGGGTGCCCTTGAAGGCGCCGGTGCCAGTGACGGTGTGTCCAATGAGAGTTCTTCGGGGACATGTATTCATATTGTGCAGTGCAGCAGTATCCTTGAAATTGGGGGATCCAAAGTATCGATCGGTCGTCGAACTCTCCATCAAAGATCAGGATTGACGGATTGATTCATCTGAAAAGCGCAAATTGAGGTGGGGTACGGATTCGTAAGGTACCTTACGGATTCAGGGTAGTCCTTACAGATCCGTATCCTTGCGACCATACCTATCTATGTCCACCCATGAGTGCTTGACTGTCATCCCATGATGGGCTTGTCATTGACGTACGTGTCACTGATTTGGACTGTGCTTCTTACCGAAATAAAGATCCCGTCGAAGTGTTAACCTACCAAGAATGCGACAAAATTTCCAAATATAAAGAAGTGTGCGACTCCAATTTCCTTCGATCCCTTTGTTGTTTCTGTGGATGGCATGCTTGCCCCCCAAGCCAAGATTCTCTTACAACGGCTTGCTTCTGCTACTGCCTCCAAAATTCAGTTTTCCTACTCTCAAATGATGTTTTTCATGCAGACCTGTATCTCAATTGCCCTTGTGAAAGCTACCCATTTATGTCTCCGTGGGGGCTTCCCCACCAATTGCCCGCGTCATAAAAGCCACTCCGTGGCCATAGTTTGCTAAACTAACGAGTATTTTACACCCCTCCGTGGATCTCGCAAAGCCAAACCATTTGGCCCCCGTAATGGTCGTCACTTTCTTGCCCCTGATCCCACCGAACCTAGTCCAGAATTTTGACTGTTCTTTGCTTAAGCCTGGCCCCGGCTGGCTTCCGTAGATAATTTCCCTACTCTAAACCCCCCTCCACGTATTACCGCTAGAGGTTCAGGAGATCGACGAGAGGATCGATCCTGTCGAACTGGCGTACATACACCACTGTTGTCGGTCAAACTTAAAATTCTCTCATGTTTAACATAGGAATTCAATGAATATCAAACTTGACAATAGGCTTGCCTCGTGCCTCGTCCTAACACAAATACGCAGTCCTTCACCATTGAGTAGATTGCCTGAAGTTTGCCATGTTAGCGCTTTTACTAGCTAGTATTTATATTTATATTATTACTATTATTATTACTGCAGTGACGGAATTAAAGTCAATCATCGACCCTTCTTTACCTCAGCACAAAGGGTTTAGTTAGAGCTTTTCCATACAGATAAGTCCGATGATCTGTGTGGACAGGCTCTTCTACAGTAGGTGGATTATCTACGGAACACAGTGACGAGGGCCACCCTTCTACCGTCTGGTACTGCAGTATACCGCACCACCAACCGAACTACGCTTGAGCCTCCATCGACTCAAAATCTCCCCAACAGCCAACACCAATCAACATCTACCTCAGTAATAGCAATCAATCCAATCACTTATCCAACGAAGTATTGGGCAGGATGTCAACTCCTTTTGTTACTGGAAGCAGTGCTGATGCTGGTGGGATGCTGCTACCAAGTAGCAGTGATCCATGGCAAGAGCTACTGCAAGAATCTGATGTGGAGGAGAATTCGGTAGTTGACCCACCCAGTTTGATCGATGTCCCGAGACCCGAAGACGTCGGTGACCACTCACTTTCAAGATGCTGAGCTATTTGTCCCACACATGTATCCCTCGTTACAGAATTTACACGATACCCATGATGTAGATGATCCTCAATTCCAGCCAGTCACACAGAAGCCGAGAGGATCGACAACAACAACAATGCCACCTTCAGTTTTGCCGCCGCTTCAGGAGGAATTATCCCAAGAACCTGCTGATAACAAGAGTATCAGTAAAAGCTACCAAAATTTGGATGAAACTAATATCCTAAAGGAACAAGAAAATGTCACCGTGAAGGAGGCACCAGCAAATGTTCCGTCCATGGTCAGCTTGGCATCCAAAATAAACCCCAAAATTCACATCATCAGATTTCGTCAAAAACAAAGGGAGATGGTGGGACAGATATCATTCAAAACAAGCATAGTGAGGGCAAGGTGGCAAAGAAAATTGGCAATGAAGATGAGCAAGGCATCAAGTTACCTCGGCTGGAACAGAACAAGGATCCAGCAATGCTTAATACATGTAATGGCAGAAGAAATCCAGTAGTTTCTGTGGGGATCTCTACTATCAATGAGATCAACCCTACCGCACCATCACCAAATTGGTTCCAAGATTTGTCAGGGCCCCAAGATTTACCGGGGCCCAGAGACCCGCCAACTGCTGGTGACACCGCGAGTGTATCAGGGGCACATTCTGTTTCCAATCCATTCGGAGCCTTCACACAACAACAAACAAATCCATCAATTAGGGGCGAAAACCAGAATACTGTTCCATCCATGGCAAGCTTGGAATCGAGAATCAACAAGAAAACTAAAATATACTTGGTTCACCAGAGTTCCTTTGAAAAAATGGGAGGAAGTGATCCATGCAATGATTTAACCATGCAAAGTGCAAAAGTGAGGATGGGGCAACTAAGAAATTGCCAATGAAGACGAACAAGGTGCTAAGGCCCTTCAACTGGGACAGAACAAGGATCCAGGAATGTTTGATGACAAAATGAATCCAACAGTTTCAGTGGGAATTTCTGCTGTCCATGAGAGTAATACCACATTGCCATCACAAGCTTGGCCTGACGACCAGCTACCTGCTACCAGTGTGCCAAGTGCACATCCTGTTTCCAATCCATTCGGAACCTTCTCACAACAACAAACAAATTTATCAACTAGGGACGAAAATCAGAATATTGCTGTTGATGAAGAAGAAGGAGGAGAATTCCAACCACCTCCACCCGACTCGTTGGCAGAGGCAAAACCTGTAGCTGAGGATGACTTGCCTATTGCCACTGCTGATATTGGGAACCAAAACAGCCAGAAGACAAGCAATTTGCGGACTTATCTTTTGGGAGGCATGTGTGCCGTTTTAGTTGTTGCAGGCATTCTTATCGGGGCTGTCTGTGGAACAGAACACTGTAGCGAAACGGTCTATGTAGATGGCAACAGCACAGTGGCACCCACCACAACAAGAGATGCCGTCGCAGCACCTAAAATTGAAACTGCCTTGACAGTCATTTTGGGTGTGGACTACTTCCAACAGGTGGAAGAATCTGGAGTTGATTTGGATGTTGACCTTCCTGAATTCTTGCTGGAAACTAGGCTGAAGGCGTTTGACTGGATTGTCAATCAGAACCCATTGCAATTAAACAATGATTCTCCCAATTTGGTTCAGCGGTTTCTGCTGGTGCTCTTCTACTATCAGACCACAAGACACAAGCCATGGAAAGAGTGCAACCCAGTAGCAGCAACTGCGACAACCAATTTTATTATGCACCCGATTTTCAAACTGGTGAAGCAACATCAACTTTATGGGGAGCTCAGTGGCTTTCTGCCAGTCATGAATGCCAGTGGGCTGGAATTAACTGTGAAACTGTGCAATAGGTAGATAGGACAGTTGTTGAGCTACACCTTCGTAAGTGTTGAGATCAAGAGTTGGCAGGATCTTGATTATACTTGCTCTGACACTTTGCAAACCTGTACATGCTTCAGCTTGGAATCATCTCAATGGCGCTCTACCCTGGAAGACCACAAGATTGTCGCTGCTGACAATTCTATGGCTTGGCTTCAACATGCTGACAGGAGAACTGCCCCCGAGACTCTTTTCCAAAAAAGCAGGTTTTGCCTTAGAATCTCTTGATTTGCGCTTGAATAAATTTTCTGGCACTATTCCTGCCGAATGGGTTACAAACCTTCTCGAAGGAAATGGTGTACTTGCCTATCTTGGTCTGAATCGAAACACATTGACCGGGAGGATTCTATCAGAGTTGGGTCCACTCTCTTTGAAAAACCTCATACTCACAAGCAACACTCTGACAGGTTCTATGCCGCATGAACTATTCAAACAAAGTTCTCTATGAGGGCTCTATATGGGTAGAAATGATGTGAGCCCCCCTTTCCTCTTTCCCTGTTTTCACTTGGTGGAGCACACACCTGTGCATGCCCAAACTTACCTTGTTTTGTCCCTATTTGCTGAATACAAGCTCACGGGGACTTTGCCAAGTGAAATTGGGCTGCTCTCCAATTTGGAATATCTGAACTTGGATTTCACACAGATTTCTGGGGCCTTGCCCTCAGAGATTGGACTGTCAAACCAGCTTTCTGAACACATTGTCTCCAATACCAACATGCAAGGTACAATTCCTGGACTTGGCAAACTCCAGTTTTTCCACTCGGATGGTTGCAACTTTACTGGGACCATCAGCCCGTCACTTGGCCTAATGACACATCTCAAAAGGCTGTACTTCTCCAACAACCGCTTCCATGGCACTATTCCCAATGAGATTGAGGCATTGACACTACTGAGGGAACTTCTGGTGAATGGGAATGATCTATCTGGCACAGTTCCAGTCTCTTTCTGCCAGAATCGATATGCTGGGAAAGAAGCTTCCAAGGTTGTGGCTGACTGTTTGCCCAATACTGAAACCGGAATTCATGCCATGCAGTGTGCTTCTGATTGCTGCACCAGTTTTTTGTGATGAGACAGGAGTTTGCCTTTCGAACTGAGTTGTCTTATACATGATGGCATACCCTACCAAATGTACTACAATATCCAACATGATTGGATTCTAGTGAGTCAGTCTTGCACTCAGTACTCGACGCTGGGAATGACACACCACACAACAGCTTCAACCAGGGACTCTAGCCAGGGAATAGTTATCTACAGAAGCCAGCGAGGGCCAGGCAAAACCTTAGTTTGTGGCAAACGGAGGAATCATTGGGGGAGGGAGCAAGGGAGGGCAAGATTAGTGCACGAGGGCAAGTGCACCATTGGCAGAACCGCAGTAGCTCATGGTGTTGTTGGCTTGTTAGCTAGTCAGCAAACCCAGTTATGAGCTGGTGGCCACAGAAAAGTTGCATCTGTCACCAATTCTTCTGAGACTTCTCCAGGGATGGTGCCTATTCATTGAACGACACTGATGGTCCGCAAGACTACTGTACTTTATTATTTACTTCCTGTTGCCATTAGCTAGCTAGTTTGTCTTCCGTCTTGGCATCCACAGCCTCCCTCCTCCCACTGTTTGTCCACAGTGCAAGCTAGCTAGTAGAGCTAGGACGAAGACGACAAGTCAATGACCATCTTTTCCAAATCGATGGCCACCATTTGCTGCCGTGTCACAAGCTTATCCATTTTGGAGGAAACTGGTGATACGCGACGTTTGTCGCCCAACAAAACCAAAGAAGCTCGTGTCCTTCCGACGCCATCTTTTAGGTGGTTGGACATCCAATGATCCTTGTTGTTGTTGTCATCGTTGGATGATGGAACAGTCACGTCCCGTGCCACCATAATGGGAGCCAAACCACCCTTGACTTGCTTTTGAAGACCCAACAGTGCTACCATTTTTCGGGGATCGACAATGCCCTCGTTGATCGGCAATCGTTCTTCTTTCATATTGTCGGCTCTACTTTGCCGCTCCACGTTACTAGACCGCTTGGGTGACAAGGATGCTGCTTGACGACCTTGTTTTCGTCGGGCGGCAGTTGTGGATCGACGATTGCGCACTCGGTCTTCCTTTTTTCGATGGGGCAAGTCCGGAAATTGTTGCTGCTTGCCATTGGCGGTGGGGCTAGTACCACGACGGTCGCGACGACTCTTGGGACTATCATGATTGTTGTTTTCTGCTTTATTGTCTTGTTCTTCCACAATCTTGACCTTTCTGCTTGGCGACGACGATGGGCTGGTGGTAGTGTTACGACGGTCGCGTCTGGGCCTGGGACAACTGGTAGCTCGGGATTGCTTGTTGTATGTTGCTGCAGCGGATGCCGCTGCTGCCGCCGCGGCGGCTGGACTAGTAGATCGGCTGCTGTTTTTAGGGAGTCCTGGTGCTTTCATTTTGGGTTTGTCCTCGACGGCTTTGTTCGTTGAATCAGTTTCATCTCTATTGCTGTTTTTGGTTTGACAGCAGTACTTGAGCTTTTTGTACTTGTTCTTGATGAATTTGGCCCGTCTCTTGGATTCTTCATTCTCGTCGGGCAACACCATGGCCTTGTCGAAATCTTTGCTGGTCAGGGTAGCTTCATAGATACCGTTGACCATGCTGTTTCCACTCCTATCTAGAACCGCAATGTTCTCGGTTGACCCTGTTAATTACGAAATAGAAAACAAGCAAGAAGAAGAGAGGAGTGAGATTCAAGAGGATGCTTGCAAGCTTGCACACAATGCATGGATCTGAGATCTGCTGAGTAAAACGTACATTCATGCCTCACTTTGGCATATATGATCTTGCATCTCTTGCTACCCAGTTCTTGATGATGCAGCTGGGCACACTGCTGGCAGCATAGCACGGCCAAGGTTCCCTTATCGTTGTCTTCTGCCGCCGTCATCAGAAAGGAACCCCAGGTGGGATACTTGGACGGACAATCCGCACAAGTCTGATTTCCTGGTTTCTTGGAAATAAACATCATGCGCTCACTGTCGGCACCACGTTTCTTCTTGCTGTTGGTGGTTGGTCCTGTCATTTTAGTTATTTTGGATGTTGTAGTTGTTGTTTGTCGGTGTGGGAAATTATGACACAACAAGAAAGACCAAAGAAACAAATCTTTGAAAATGTGAGCACCCGGTCCATGCTGGGGAAAAGGGACCTTTTACGATCACGGATTTCAGTTTGGATTGCCGAAGGGAGGACCAGAGATTTAACTTTCTTGCAAACTGTGTTCCTCGGGTTCAGTATCGGCATTTTGGAGCCTTAACAGCTGTTGCTCTTTCTGAGTAGGTTCACTTCACCGACAGCAAAACCGCAACACGATGGATCAAACAGAAGCAGCACAGGAGCAAGGTCCTAAACCTTGTGTGACCCAGGTGTTGACAGAATATTAGTACCCTGTATGAGTACCTGTGCTCCACCGTACCGGTACCACTTTGTACACGTAGCTGTACATGTAGCTGTACGGTACCGGTCCATCCATGCAGCTATACATTTAGCTAGAGAAACTTGAGTAACTAGCTACCGTAGTAGCAGAATAGCAACAGAGGCAGTCAGCAACTGGCCCTTGCGGGTTCTGCTTTTGCTTTGCGTGGCTGGGACTACTCAGTCATCCAACTATCGAGTTCTAACCGTAGTACCAGGTACCAGTACTCCATGGTTCAACAGTCAGACAGAAGCAAGGGAGGTTCTACTAATCATCGGCACTTTCACACTTACTTTTCAAAAGCCCAGATCACAGGCAGCAATGAGGATTCTCCCTGTAACCGAGACTTGCTTGTGACTTAGCTAGAATGCTGGAAAGCTACGGGTTTGCAATGTCAAATGCCTGGCTTCCAGGCCTCCCCACCCCACCGAGCTACTTTGGCTGAAGGCTTCCTGTAAGCTGTGAAAGGTGGGAAATGGACCTTCGTAGTTGCACAAATTCATTCCAGACGAGGACAGGACGAATTGGTGCTACAATGCTGGAAGCTGTGAAGAAGCCATTTCTATCAACCAGGAACAAACATAAAACATGAGATGTGCAAGTACTGTACCGCTTTTTAAAAAGTTCCAAATCTGGAATTACATGTCAAAGATTGATGATACATATGGTTAAAACTCGAAAAGGTGCTACAGTAGCTAGAAACTCTCTACATATTCAGCAAGTTGGCGACCTCTTGCCTGCTGTGTTCCTTGACCATGGTATCAAACTTTTGGAACAAAGACTGATGCTCTGCACATGGTACTCGAATGACAATGCCGACCCGAGCAAGGTCGAGAAAACATGGAGACGAGTTTTCTTCCGTGTTTCTTCCCCGGATTCGGATGGCTTGCTTCATCAGTGGCTCTTCCATGGCATCGACCACTGTTTGGTAAATGCTGCCTTCCAGAGCTTCTGATGTTGATGGCTTGGAAACAAAAGCCACACATGCCATTTCATGTCCTTGAGATTGCAGAGCCAAAAGGGTCTCCACCTCCTTTCGGAGCATGATATCTACGGCACGAAAGTGCCAATCCGAAAACAATGTGGCGGTTTCCTCCAGTGTGGCTCGATATTCTTGGAGGCACTGTTTGATGGAAACACAAACTCGGAAACAGCTACTTCGTAAATCCACTCCCACAGCTTGTTCTTGTCCATTATTATTGCGGTCTGGTAGCATCCACAAATACTTTTCATGCAACCGCGGACGGTTCAACAAGGGCCCCATGCGGTCCCATAGTTCCGTGTCGTGGACAATTGGAAATTGCAGAACCTCCACGGCTCCACCGTAGTTCTTATTGTAGTTGATGTTGCTGTTTGCCACTCCCTTGTATTCTGCATGCATCCAGTTGCGCACTTTCTGATGGGGTTGCGTCAGTTTCAAGAGGGCATCGGATGGACACGTAATGTTGGTGAACCCTGCCATTTGTAGCTTTTCCAAAACTGCCAAATGGCCTGCTTGGGCAAAGTGCTTGCTCAATGTACGCAATCTCACAACTTGCTGCAATGGTAGAAAGCTCAGAATATGTGCCGTAGCGTCTTCTGGAAGATCATTGTACACCTTAGTGGTGGTTTTACTAGGTGCTGTACCCGAAGAGTCTTTCTTCTTCTTCTTGACAACAATACTCTTACACGGCGGTCCCTTCATCTTGAGAAGCACTCCACTAAGCACTGCTGATAAACGCATTGGCTTGTGCGTCTTTGTGGAAACTCTAGTAGGAACTTGGACTCCCATTGTTGCAAAAAGGTTGGTTTTATTGCCGAGGTTTCGCATGGTTGGTGGGAAGGGATCGATTGATGGACTGTGGTGTTCAAGGCTGTGAAGGCAAATATTATGGCAAGAATACTTCACCCAAGCAAACAAAGTACTGTATTGGGAATTTAAACGTCCCTCCTTTTATCATGTTGCCAAGCAACCAGAGCAGAACTACAGTTAGTTTAGTTGAGTGGCAGAAAGGGGACGCGGATCTTGTGAATCAATCGTTGATCACCATTGTCACTTGTACTCGTAGCTGAGCATTCAGTCAGTGGCCATGTATTTGTGTCCGTGCCATCTGTGATCTGAATGTCGGCAAGAACGACTGCCGCTACATGATGTAGTCCAGCGTCTAGCGTTGTACCGTTGGACAAATAGACTACTAGAGTATGTACGATTTACCTGTACGGAAGAAGGTTTCGGGTTCATTTGTGGGCTCGTACGATGTACTGTACATGTTCTGTGATCACTTCGGTACCGGTACCGTAGAATGTCCTTGGAACTTGGATTGGCGCAGAAAAGGCCATTGTGTTACTGTAGATGAGTCCTGCGGTACGAGTTTGATTTTGATTTGGCAGACTGCTCGATACCCTGCCTTGGCTGTTGATACATGTAAAAGTAGCTAGCTAGCCGCAGTGGTAGCCAGCCATCTGTTCCTCTTTTGGTTAGGTTTCATGATATTATCCATAATGGTGAGACTCAGCCTTCGTGCCACATGCCATGAAAGACTGGTGCAGTGTACCGGTACATGTACCACAAAGTACTCAAATCCTCAGACGCCGGTACTGGCTTGAGACCACGTACTAGCCAGCTGACTTTCGGCTCCACTTGTAGCAACTTCATCCAGTGTCCGCATGAAAGCACCCAGTCTGCCTCACTGCGGTTTGCCAACGCTGAGGCTTGCCAACCCAGTGTACCAAGCCCACTGTATCCAAGGTCCTTGCTGTCTTCTCAATATCATCCTCACATCCTCACAAGTTTTCTCCTCGAGCCAAAAGCAACTCAAACGATGATCTCAGCTGAATCTATTTTCGACAACTTGACTAGGAGCCATGACAGAAGCAAGGAGTTCATCTTCATGGATGAATCTGAAAGCACGGAAGCATCGTTGGACTATGTTCTTGCTGGGAAGCTGCAAGCGGTAACTGCCAGTACTAGTAACTCGGATTGGAAGTCAAGTCGTGGGCACGGTCGCGAATCAGTGAATCCAAAAAGACTTGCAGCTCAGCAGGATCGATTAGGCAGTGTCCTCAAGTCTCGTAGGAAAGACCGTCAGAACGAAGAAGCTGAATTCGAAGCCTTTCCAGTTGACGAAACAGTGCAGATTAGAAAACCTAAATCCAAAGAAGTGCGTGGACGAGGTCGAGGCAAGGAAGCAGACAGGGCTATGGGTCGTCGTAGTAGCAGTCTTGGTCCAATGATGAAAAACGTGCTCAAGGGTATCAAGCTGCTCAGTCAACAACCTGAGGCAACAGAGGTGCAGGAAAGCATTCAAAACAGACGGCGAAGTCGCAGTGCAAGTCCCATGAGAAGTGTTGAAGCTTCTATGTGTAACAAGCAAGTTGACAAGGAAGTCGCAGCCAAAGAAGAACGCGCCAGAACTCAAGAGAAAGGGGCTACCGGTAGCACTGGTCGTAGTAGCAGTGCCAGCGGCATTCGAAGCGTGGCAGCAGCAACGACTGTTGCCAGTGATGACAGGCGTGGTCGACGTCGGTGCAAGAGAGGAGCACAAGGAAGCACGGAGCGCAGCCGCAGTGCGAGCGCCAACAGGAGCTTGACAGTCAAGGAATCTAACGTTCGCAGTGCAAGGAGAAGCATGAATACTCTTACCAAACAGTCGGACCAAGAAGTTCCAGCACCAACGAAACAATCGAGTGCGCGGTGTCTCAAGATGCATCGAACGAACAGTGACAGGCGTGGAGGCCGCCGGTCTCTTTCCCCACCACGCACATTGCAGAGGAGTCCCTCGAGTAACCGTATGGCTAGTCCCCGTGTCGCAACGAGACAGTCGAGCTCTCGAGCGCTCAAAGCGCAAAGAACTCGGAGTGGCGGGAGTCGTCGCAGCCGATCTCTTTCCCCTCCACGAAATTTGGAGCGGAGTCCTTCAAGCAGTCGAGTTGTGATGGCGTCATCCAGTCGAGGACCGCAGCTCAAACGCATGGGAACAGTTCCTCAGTTGAGTGCCATGGAGTCGGGAATGGACGATAGCTCTGCTGGTTGGAACAACTTTGTCATTGATCGCAAGAATGGAGCACTCGAACAACCAGGGGAAGAAGGGTGGTCAGCAGCCAATGCAACTGCGTTCCCACAAGCCATGCAGACAGTGAGCTCTGTTCAACGTGAGATTCAGAGCTGTCGTCGCTTGACACGAAGGGGGCTCCATGATGGCGGGACAAAGAAGAAACGCGCAAAATCCCCCGTCACGACCTGGCATCGTAGAAACACCAAGGCAGCCGACAAGTTCTCGAGGGCTCTCAATGCCCAACGACCTACTGCTAGAGACGAAGACAAGAAACAGAAGCTGAAGAAACCGACTTCGATGCCTAGCTTGCTTCACTCTCCAGGATCTGGTCGCGCCGAGCTGCAGGAGCGAAGGAACGCAGACTTCCTTCATTCGTCGGACAGTGCTCTTCCTCTGGACTTTTTGGGTCGTAAGGTGAAACGGAGCAATAGCAAAAGGGCTTTGAAGACTGAGGGGAAGACTGTTTCTTCACCCTGCAAGAAGAACAGCAGTAGTACCAATATCCTGGGAGCATTGGCCAAGAAGAAGAAGAAGAATGGGGCATCTTCGAGCCGCAACAAGTCTCCAACAAGGATTCGCTACCTGGATGATGACAACCTTGTAGGTGTCTTCTCAGCCAACCCTCAGTTCCATTCTTCCGACTCTGCTCATCGGGTGGGGTCGTCGTCCTCGACGCCATCACTTACGAAGATGACGCGAACAGGGAGCAAGAACGAGGCGTTGGACAGTGGACTCCACACACCGTCGTCTAGCAAGAAGAGCAGCAGCACCAGTGGCCTTGACGCTCTGTCCAAAAAGAAGAGAAAGACTGGCAGCCGCAGTGGTCTCTCCTCGATGAACCGCAAGAGAGATAAGAGTCCTACAAGAAGTCGAAAGGCGAGCAATGACCCAGTTCGCGAACTTCGAGCCTTGGCAGCCAACTCTCCTAAGAAGCTGCCATCGTCCAGCGAGGACAAAGCGGCAAGACTCGACGAGCTCCGAGCCAAATTGAGCACCAGTTTGGTTGTCTCCCAAGAACCAGGTGTCAAGGTCTCCGTCGGACCCAAGGCGTGTTAGGCGAGGAAGCGCAGCCATGAATGCATGGGGAGAAGACAGAGTATTTAAGAGCGCTGGCGCTGCACAGCCCGAACTAGTGCATAATACTGTGGAGAGCAATACCAACAGCTAGACTAGAGTTATGATGTCTTTCTTATGTAAAATGTATACTAGTATCTTTTATTCCTAATACCATCATCCATCGAAAGGAATGATGCACAGTCATCAGATCTGGTGATCCAATGCACACTTACTTCACTATGGATGCATCACAAAAGCACGACCATGGATTGTGTGTTGGTGGCGGTTGGTTTGAGCTTTCTCTCGAGTTGCTGCAATCGTCGTTCTTTGCAGTTCGGTGCCGGTTCGACCGGACCGGTACTGCTGCGCAAGGAAGGTGGCGTCTTTAAGCTTTCGCGGGCATTGCTCCAGCGTTGTTTCGACGAGGAGATGCGCCTGGGAATGTCGCCGTCCTCGTCATTGCCTTGCTCCTCCAGCAGAGGCATGTATCCCAACACGTCCTTGTCTTCCTCCTCCTTGTTGTTGGTCTTCTTGCTAGAGCTAGACTTGCTCGTCCTGCTGGCCTTTTCCTCCCTACTACCAGTACTACCACTGCGGTGACTCTTTTTGGTGGCTTCATTGGCAGAAGCGGAAGTTGATCGGGAGACGATGGCGGGTCGTCGGTTGTTCTTCATGTCAGCCGCGACCATTTCGGCAGCATCCGGATTGAGTGCCATGCGACGTCCCTGATTCATTTCCTTATCCAAGGAATTGTCCTCCGAGGCGCTTGCGGATCTCTTGTTTGTGGATGGTTGGGGCATCAGAGACACATCATCCTTGCTCTGACTTTTCTTGGACTCCGACGAGGCGCTTGTCAATCTCTTGTTTGTGGCTGGCTTGGGGAGAGCCACATCATCCTTACTTTGCGTCCTCTTGGGCAAAGACTTGGGCGGCATGGTATCATCCTTGCTTTGCGCCCTCTTGGGCAATGATTTGGGCGTGATAAGGTCCATGCTCTGGGTTCGCTTGGGAGACTTGGGTAGAGTATCATCCTTATTACTTTGAGTACGCTTGGGGACTGACTTGGGCATAATGTCACGCTTACTGTGGGTTCGCTTGGGAGATCTGGGCAAGGTATCATCCCGCGAACTAGTAGTACTGCGCTTGGTCAATACCAAGTCTTCCCTACTTTGGCTTCGCTTGGGCGACTTGGGGGACAAATCTCGCGTCCTCTTGGGAGAACGCTCCGTCGTGACGGCTCGTCGCAGATCGGCCGTTGGATGACGCCGAGGTCGTTCTTCGAGGGTCTGACAGCGCTTCCATGTAAAGGATGCTTCGCTACTATTACTGCCTGCCGAATCACGAGACGGCGGCATATCGACGGGGACCTTATGATTGCGATGCAACCGTCGTGTCGAACTGGAACGATCCATGGGCATGGGAGACGTGGAAGGGGTGCGGCGTCCTCCACGACGATCTTTTTCGGTGGAGAGACCGCGGCTAGACCGGGTTCGTCGAAAAGAAGTAGTGTTGTTAGAAGTTTCGGATGCACTTAGCCCTCGATTGGAGCGAGTGCGTCGGATGCCATTGCTGGCAGTATCGGATCCAGACATGCCTGCTCGTGTAGGACTGTGACTGGGAGTTCGTCGTCCTCTGCTGGTATTGGTTGCCGACGAATCTCCCAGACTGCCGTCCTGCATGCGGCCGCGACGACGATTGTCTCGACGGCGTTGCTGTTCTTCCGTCTTATTATTGCTGTTGTCATTCATAGACGTCTTCATAGCCGACTGTTCTTCTGGCTTGGACTTATTGAGTGGGGTGTTGGTGTTGGAAGGACAGTCCACTCCCTTTCTGGCGTCTCTCTGCCGCGAAATGATCGACTGCAGCTTGCTCTTTTGCTCGTCTCGCCAACAAGGCTCGACGGGTTCTTCCACCACCTTGTCTCCATCGTCGTCATTGTCTGCTTGCTCCAATTGAAGTTTGCTGTCATTCAAAAGGTTGATATCATCAATGGAGAAGGATGCCCAATCACCAAACTCCAATTCGGCGGCAGCAGCCGTATCGGTGGAGATGCTAGCTCTAGGTTCTTCGGGGACTTCCAGGTTCATGTTCTGTTTTATTTTTGGCAAGCTCACTTTATTATGAGCCTTCAGTTGGGCTGAAGCAATACTGTAATTCAAGAGGATGACGGTGATGGTAATGATGCGATGACTTGGCGTCTGTGCAAGTGCCTCCTTTACTCCACCAACACTCTCACCTTACAACTTACTTTTTCAAACGGATGATGATGGGGCCGGTGATGGGCAATGGGCAACCCGGTTGCAATGCCAAGGATCAAGCATTCGAGATGGGTGCTGCGACCCCTCCATCTTTGCATACAGGATGGAGCAAGAAAAAAGATACGGGCATCCTGCAGAGTCGCTTTCTCATGAGAACCTCTTGGAAAAAGGACCACAAAAGATCGCGGATTACCTTGGACCCTTAAACACTCAAGGGCAGACTACTATGTACGGTGGTACAAGAGAAAGTGATCCTTTTAAATCTGATACGTGAACCTGAGAGGGAACAGAACGCGTCGGATCATTGAAGAGCTATTGAAGAATAATTGAACCTTGCATAGAAGAGGGGCTTAGCATGTCCAATGACGCAGCTGTGCTACCGGTTGTATCAAAACCAGTACATACTTACCACCCACCATAATGCATGAGCCAGTCAGCGAATTCGTACCATTCGAGAGATACGTTCAGCATGGAGCTCACGATATTATCACTGGAAAGCTACCAGCTCAACGGTATGGCACAATAATTGCGAATGAGCTTTTAAAATGAGAAGGAGCTGCTGAAGGCTGAAGGGCTTTTCTACCCTTGCTATTACAACCATGGCATTCTTACTGGTGGCTTCAATAATGCCAGCCCAGCTAAGCGTTGGTCCGTTCTTGGGCAAGTCAGGCTGTGCGCGGCGCTCTTTACTAGAATGCTGAACCCAAGCAGAGAGATTCTGCACCGTACTGCCTGCAACTCCAGGAAGCAAGCGGGAGAGGTGGGATGCAGCATCTGGGTACTGGTACATGTAGTACTGGTTGCAGATCTTGGATGCTGGAACGTGTCCACTGAGTTTGGTGCTTCTCTGTGTTGGCGATAATATATATCTGTGGGTATCATACTAGAGACGTGCGTTCTACCGTCTTCCATAACCATGGCTCCTTTCTTCCTCAAAGGTAAACAACTAAACAACTGCTGGTCAAAACTACATGTATGATATGCATAGGCGCTCCAGCCCAAAGTTGCAAGGGGCTTGGTAGCTTAATTAATTACATAGTCTTGCTCCACCGACAATCAATCCCTCCTTCTGCACCTCTGGAAGCCTGCGTTGATTTGCCGCCCTCATTCCTGATCACTCATTGCACTCATCATCAGTTTCTTGTTTCTTGGACTTGGAGCTTGGCACCTGCCGCGCCGGTACTGTACGGTACCGGTACCATTCAAAAGATTTGGATACAATTGCCCCTTCACATGCTGGAGAGCACGAGAGAAGGCTCCCGTGGGCGAAAGGACGTGCATCTCTTCTATCCATACATGTATGTACAGTACTATCGCTAAAACTACTATTAATAGTATGCCATTGTCATTGGTTTCAATGCCCTAGCCAAGCGTTGGTCCGTTCGTGCCGTTGGCAAGCAAGTCAAGGCAGTGCGCGGCGGTATCAGTACGTACAGTCGTATGATCGATGATGATGAGAGACCTTGGCACGGAAAAGGCGAGGCTTTAGCCACTAGCTACCGGTAGATATTCTCTTGAAGTTGATGTCTGTGGCTGGCTACGACGGCAACCATTCTTTGAGCATCAAAGGAAAAAGCATTGCTCGTTGTCCCAGTTTGAGTGCAATCACCGCCGAGGTGTGGCCGTGGCTCCAGAGGTTTCGACGGTGGGAGACTGCAATTGGCATACTAGTAGTGAGGATCGACAGACGGACTTGTCGTCGTTGCAAAGCTGCCAACCGGATGTTGATGTGTCTGAGGAGATCCTAGCTTTGGAGTCAAGTGCCGATTTGAAGGACCTATATTTGGAGATCAAGAACTACCACCCTCCTGGTGTTGCATACTGTTGTGAAAATTCAGGTTCCGAAATTTTACAACAACGCGTGATGTGTCCTGTGAAGCTTCCTGTGAAGCTTCCTGTTCGCAAAGAGCCTTTACAGTAGCGCAATCCAGTGATGAGACCACGGCGAAAGCATTCGTTGTGGTCAAGTCCAAGTCGCCCTTGTTGACGTCCGTGATTACAACAACAACCAGCCGTTCAAAGAGGAAGCTTCCCTCCTCGACCGTTTCTGCGGTTCCCAAAAATTTCAAAAAGGGAAGGGTGCTAGATGTTCCCAGCAGGTTAGATGACATGTTGGGGTCTTGCAAGAATACACCATGGGAAGAAGGTGACATTAAAACATGTGTTGAAAAAGGGGATGTACCAAGTGACTGTTTCTGCCGTGGCGTCAATGCGAATAATAGTAAGGTCACCAACTGTGCCTGTCGCTATTTGATTGATGTTTCACTGGAATGACTATCCGCGTCTTTGTTTGGTTTTGAAGGAAGTTATTAGAGACTTGCGTGCCATTTTGTCGGCCGATATGTATTCCTGTGGTGCCCGAGAGTGTTTCCATGCTGTGTTTGGTGTGACCAATATTTCAACTGTTTGGGGGGTCATCGGGCACACGCGGCATGTTCTTATATTTCAACTCTTTTTCACCAGGCCGGAAGTCTATGCAGCAAATGCTATGCATGCTCTTCTGACCACAGAGTTATAGTCTCGTTTCTCTAAAGAGATTCTTCTGGATGATTTCATCAAGAGGAGCAGACCAAAAAGATCTGTCGATTGTCCTTTGACTCAATTGGCACGTTGGGAGGAAAACCTATGGATCATATAATATACAAGGATCGATATATGTTGGTTGGTTATTCCATCTACGTCCAGGAAAAAGCCAATTTGATGAAGCCACCTTCCAAGTCTCAGCTTGTAAGGCTTGTTTCGGAATCGGGGGGTCATCAACAACCTTCAATTCCGGGAGAGATTTGTGCCAGAAAGAGTAATGGAGAAATGAGAATTTACATCGAACAGTGATGGAAGCCCCCGGTTTATGTTATTTTAGCTTTGGCTCGTTTTGTCCACAAATCCCCTCTGTGTTGAGCTCGATTGGATTGAATGAACACAGTGACAGATGAAATTTTGATCAAAGTGAAGCATGGAAAATGAAGCCAATTGGAACATTGCCTACTCCTTTTCATTGAAAACAAATCGATTGAGTGCTGATGGTGTGCGAATGCAGGAAAGCAAGTCACCTATGCGTGAATCCTGCTGTAGTGCTGAAAGCCACAAGAGAAGGCTCTTTTTTGTTTCGAGCCATTGTGAGCCTTGACAGGGCCGGTCTTATGTTGAGGGTGTGGCCTGGGGAAACAACAACCCAAAGTCCTCCCGGGGAGTTTTCACCCGATCGGTTGTTGTATGTGACTCCTGGCTGTGCTGTTGTAGCTACTCCCATTGTCAGTCCTAACGAGTGATTGCATCAGGTTTTCGCCATGTGGGCAGCGTCGTTTGGAGATTTATTTTCAGGTTTCTCCCAAGACAGACACAAGATGTTCTCTATGCGCTGGACGAGGGGAAATTTCAGCTATGTTCCTGGAAAGGATGGAAGTTTGCCATCAATAAGGAGCCGCCGTGTGGAAGACATTGGCACGAGAGAGTTGGTCAAGTTCATCTGTAGTTTCGAGTTTTAGCTTTTATTAGTTAAAATTACATAGTCATGTTTCACCAACACGCAATGCCTCCTTCATGTCTTGTTTCATCCAATGCAACCTGGAAGCCTGTGTTGGTTTGCCCTCCGTCCTCATGGACTGGGATTCGGCCTTTTTGAGCACTCTCCAACGTTCGAAGCAAGGGTTCCAGATCTCGAGGCAAATGTATATTTGGGGTTAAGGGTTATTTCTGACGTCAGCTTCATCTTTTGTTCCCACCAACAGCCTCGCTGCTCCTGCAGCAACCGGAAGAGACGGGCTTCATCGGTTGATTTGCCTATCTCAATAGTTGACCAGCTTCATCTGTTGATTTTGGTTGTTTCAGTTTGGGTATACGGATGAGAGCACAAGTACAAGTATGGAATCTACACCACTCTCCCAGATGCCACAACAGCAGAAGAAGAGGGGAAATAAATCCGAGAAGAACAAGTTGCAATGCGAGAAATACTGTCGTCTCTATCGCAACAAGTTTCGTGACATTCCGTACTTGACTTCCGTAGAGTTATTGTTGGATCAGTGCGCTAGAAACACTAGCACGAGCAATGTCACTCTCGTGGATGTACGGACGGAGGAGGAGCGACAAGTCTCCATGATTAAAGGAGCCATTTCTGTTGAAGAGTTTCACAGATTGCAAGCCACGGCAGATACCGGTACTATATCTTCATGCAATGACAAGGAAGAACAAATAGTTGTTACGTACTGCACCATTGGTTATCGTTCCGGGCTCGAGGCACGACGACTCGGTTTACTGTATCCTCATTTGAAGGACCAAATTTACAGTCTCGATGGTATAGTCGCCTTTACGCATGCCTTGGGAAGCACTCTGACGACGAATCAACAGTCGTCAGAGGAAGAACCAGAAGAAGAAGAAGAAGAAGAAACAACCACCTGTCGCAATGACACGACGAAGAAACCTCATCATTGGAATCTGATCCATCCAGGAACGGGGGCACCAACCACTCAAGTGCACACGTTTGGTTGGATTTGGGGATGCGTGGATGAGGAGCACTTTTCACACACACATTTCTCACTACCCGCATTGCTAATCCGCCTGTTGCAAGTCACGATTGCCATTATCACCTGCTTTTGTCTTCGAATAAAACACTTTTGTCTTCCTCCTCCTCCAAGACGACAACATTTGGACCAGTAAGTCTTCTTCTGCATTGGGGGGAGCGATCGTGGATCTGCTCAAGAAATTGCTCAACTTCTTTTTCGTATTTCTACTAGCTAGAGCGTTGAAAGCAGAGTAAATTGGTTCCGTCCTTTTTTATATTGACTACCGTACAGGCAAACCATCCATAATCAAGGAAATGGCTTTGGTGTGTTGTCGTCGGAGCTGTACGTAAATCAAACGCTGTTCGCAATGGCCAACCTTTTCTTCTGCCTGCCTTATCGTCGCGATTTGGTTTTCTTGATGACTCGATTGCGATTGAATCGCGGGATGTTCCTACATCCTCTAGCTAGCTAGCTAGCAACACACACAAAAGGATTCTCCCCCAACGCGTCTTTGTCAGCTAGGTAGTCGTGGGTGGCTCCTTGCATGGGTCGCCACTGCAGAAACGAGCAAAGAGTGTTCGTTGGGAGGTTCGTGATGGCTCAGTAACGTTGCTTCAGGCGATTATTATTGTGTTTTTAAAACGGGTATACTGTGATGTTCCGAAGAGTAACTTCCCCTTCATTGCTCAGTACGGTACTGTGCAATTTGGGGAACTGCAGCCGTGTACGGATATGGTTCTTCATCACGGACTGAGTATACCGTAGGTCAACATTCTGCCGGAAACGATGATGGATGATTTCCTAAGTTATCTATCATACCCTAATCTAGCAGGAGAAGAATCGTGGCAGAGGAGACCATTGTGCCGCAGCAGAGGGCACGCCTTGATGCTCAGCTCAATCGAGAAAAGATGGGTCCAATGCCCTCGGGGCCAAAACTTCATGCCACCAACAATGTCTCGGCCATCGTTCCCTCGACTAAAGTGACCCTTTACTAGCTAGTACAAAGACTTCTTGTAGGGGGGGTTTTAGAGTAGGGAAATTTAGAGAGGGTACAAAGACTTCTTCATTTTGTCCCCGAGAGGCCAAGAGTTATGTCCACGTTTATCATCCGACACCCATGACACAGCCAACAAAGAAGCCATTGTGGTCTCTGCGACAACAGAGGCGCAATAAGAAAGACTCGACTCTTCAGCATAAATGCTGTTGTTGCCTTTCTTGTATTCTCGGTGTCAAGAATGATGCATTTCGAGACCGTCGAAAGCAAAGGTACCTCGTCGCATGGCCGCAATTAAGAGATGTCGACGCTGGCATCAGAAGGGCAAGGAGGCGCCAACCATCTTCCAAGCAAAAGTGAATCGTCTACCACTAATACACAGTCTACGCTTGATCACGGAATGCACGAATCTACCGTGGAAGAAGCTGGGAACGAGAAGGCTGCCAAACAGACTGGAGGCAATCTACTCGAAGCCAAGGACAGAGCTGCCAAAGAATCAGCAAGAGGCCACGTCAGCGTTCCAAGCAGTGCCTTGGAGAATAGCCGTGCTGACAAGGAGGAGCTCCGTCAAGCGGAAAGTCTCTGCCCCAAAGTCTTGCCAGGCAAAGTCAGTGTAAGACCCGGTGCATGTGAATGGTGACGGCATCACAAGCACCAGCGGCTTGCGCAAAAACTTGCCCACAAAAGGCTTGCGTCAGAACAGTAGTTCTGGTACACAAAGAGTTGGGGTGCCCCACACTGCTGCCAAGGGATTGCAAAGAAACCAAAGTGAAGATAGCCAATTGCGCTCAAAAGGCCTGCGTCAGAATGCTAGCAGAGGTAGCACAAGGCCGGGGGCTCAGCATGTAACCAATGATCATGAAAGCACTGGCCACAATGATCTTACCGAGACGACCAACCACAATCGGCTGCGAAGAAACACCAGCAAGAACTCTGAAAAAGGATTGCACAGATCTGCCAGCGGGGATAACCAATTGCGCTCAAAAGGCCTGCATCTGAATGCTAGTGGTGATAGCACAAGGCCGGGGGCTCAGCATGTATCCAATGATTCCAATGATTATGTATGCACTGGCCACAATGATCCCCCAGAAACGACCAACCACAAAGGGCTGAGACGAAACACCAGCAAGAACTCTGAAAAAGGATTGCACAGATCTGCCAGCGGCGTTAGGACGAGGCCAGGTACACAACAAAGGAGCGACTTTTCATGCACCAAGCATGACAGAGGGGCAACCAAAGGACTTGCCAACAATAGCAGAGCCACAGTCACGCAAAATCCTCCTCTACAGCCACAGCGATAATGCCCACTCCCTATGAAAGAGATGCTGCTGGGACAACCACAGGAGGAAGTGAGTCATTGCCCAAACCAGTACAGCTACAAACTCATGGGTCTGACATCCGTGCCTACAAACGTGACGATGAGACATGCTCATCTATTGAGGCAGGAGTGGCAACTGGTCCAGTCTCAGACCCATTGCTCCCTACTCCGAACACAAGCCCGCCACAAGGAGGCATTGATACCGCTACTACAGATCACGGTTTGGTTGTGGCCAACCCCGTCACAGATGACGTGGAAGCAACTCTCACGCATGCCAACCCGGTGGATCTGGAGGAGCAAGAACAACGAGAAAAAGAACAAAAGAAACAGCGACGGACATTTGTCTTTGTACTTGTCTTGATGGTCCTTGCCGTGCTGGCCATTGTTGGCACTGTAAGCGGAACACAGACAAAACGCGAAGATTCAATTGTTCTCAAAACATCACTCCCAACAGTCTTTCTCTCCATGGAGCCTTCGGCTGTGCCTTCTTCTGCCCCCACTGGGAGTCTTGATTTGTTGCTGGATGGTCTTCCTAATGAGACCCTGGTTATGCTCAACATTGGTAGTGACACTCCCCAATGGAAAGCATGGAACTGGCTGTCCAATCATCAGAAGATGACGAACTTACCGGAATGGAGAAAGACACAGCTCTTTGCCATGGCCACTTTCTACTATGCATTTGAAGGTGAGGCTTGGCCCAAGTATGTTCAGGATCGATGGATGCAATATGACACGGAGGAGTGCAATTGGTACTCAAACTTGCTGGGATGGTTCCTCAAAGGTGTCTACACGCCGTATACAAATGATGCTGATGAACCCATTCAAGGATCCCCATGCAACGAACTCGGAGCCTTACGGAGCTGGTTCTGCAGAACAATAGCTTCACAGGAGAATAGGCGGTTTCTATAGGGTGATTTCCTGTCCCATCCGACAGCGACAGAAACCAACGAGCAAACTGGACGAAAGTATCGAAGACTTGTCATCTTTTTTACTTCCAAGAGCTACAGTGTACAAATCTTTCACGAGACCCAGATCCATGAATGAGCGCTGGAACATCACAGGATGTTCTATTCAAGTCTCCAAGAGTAAATTCTAACTTTACCTTGTATTTACCCAAACTTACACACCTAAAGCAGTGTTCCAGGTGTCGAACAAACTAGTTGTGGGTGCTGGGTCCACAAGTTGGCTTGTGGCTTTCTTCCACGTTTTCCGCAACTCTAGCAATCGTTGACCTTTGGCGCCGGGCTTTAGATCGTCTAGTGCTCCGGGGATAGATGCGAACTGCTTTTGCAACGAAAGAAGCCGCTCAGTTTTGGATGTTTCTTCGTCCGAATCGTCAGTAGAATTGGTTGTGGCCGTCGAGTGGGAATTGCACCTCTCGTGCAAGGATGTTTGGTGGTCGGAAGACAGGATCCTGTTGCTTCGCTGAGGCCATTGCTCGAAACTGGCAGCGGAGGTACGGTGGGTACCGGTATGGTTATCCTCGCGGTTAAAGGTTGCATTCATTTTCGGCGTGGAAGAGCTCTTCTTCTTGCCATCAAGTCTCTCAGTAGCTCGGTTATCAGACTTACTTCGCTGGCTGCTACTGCTAGATCGCTTCCTTCGCTGACTGGAGCTTCGCTTTTGGTCAGCAAGTTCTGTGAAGGACTTGAATGAGTTCTTTCTTCGAGTTAGGGTGCCCTGGTCACCGGCTTGACTTGATGATCGTCGGTCTCCCCGTGAGGTCTGTGGATTGGAACCCAGGGAGGTGAGGTCTTGGCCCGAAGAACGACGCCTGGTGCTCGATTTGGAGGACGTGCTATCCTCCTTACGCTTCTCCCTTTCAACTGAGCCATCAGCCTCAGAGACGTCCTGTGCTGACCTGGCAGGGTGCATTTCGCTGACTCTGGTGCGAGAGCTTGTCCGGGCAAGAGGAACCAAATCTTCCATCAGACGAAGATTCCCCTCGGACTGTCGTTTTGCCTTTCTGCCAGATTTGCTTCGTCTTCGCCGCGTTTCGTGCCCTCCAGTATTGCTTCTTGTCAGGCTGTGATGCTGGTCCTTATAAAGACCTTGACCGGAGCTGCTGCTACCTGACTTGATTTCCAATACCCCGACAGAAGTGCTTCTGCAGCCCGAGTTTTGAGTGAGTCGAATGATGCGACTGTGCCCAGAATTTCTTCTGTTCAACTTTTGACATCGTTTGATACCACCAGAGATGTTATTCGTTGGTGGCCTGGTGGGCAGAAGGTCCAATTCTACACCAGACCCGCTTTCGCCAGGACTGCGACTTTGAGCTCTCACTTCTCCAGTGCTGCTTCTCGTCAACTTGTTGCCGTTTTTGATACTCGATTGTTGAATTAGCCATCCATCAGACTTCCTTCGCATGGATGACCTGGACGTGAGATCCAAAGGCCCACCAGACCTGCTTCTGTCATCGTTTCGTCGGGAGCTGTCGAGGTCATTGGTGCTTCCGTCTAGGGATTCGTCAACGGACTTGTTCATTGCACTGTGATGACTGGAGCGGCGACCACGCATACTTCTGTTCAAGAGGTCGGCATCCTTGACTTGCTGCGCGGGTTGTTGGATCCACCGTCCTATGCTGTGGTCAGAGTGACTGTGATGGATGCTGCTGCTGCCATCTAGGGTTTTGTCAACGAGCTCATTCCTTAAGCTGTAACGTCTGGTTCGGCGACCACGAATACTCCTGTTTGAGTCGGCCTCCTTGGCTTGCTGTGACGGTTGTTGGATCCACTGTCTAATGCTGTGGTCAGAGTGACTGCTATGGATGCTGCTGGTGCCATCTAGGGATTCGTCAATGGACTTGTTCATTGCACTGTGATGACTGGAGCGGCGACCACGCATACTTCTGTTCAAGAGGTCGGCATCCTTGACTTGCTGCGCCGGTTGTTGGATCCACCGTCCTATGCTGTGGTCAGAGTGACTGCGATGGATGCTGCTGCTGCCATCTAGGGTTTTGTCAACGAGCTCATTCCTTAAGCTGTAACGTCTGGTTCGGCGACCACGAATACTCCTGTTTGAGTCGGCCTCCTTGGCTTGCTGTGACGGTTGTTGGATCCACTGTCTAATGCTGTGGTCAGAGTGACTGCTATGGATGCTGCTGGTGCCATCTAGGGATTCGTCAATGGACTTGTTCATTGCACTGTGATGACTGGTGCGGCGGCCACACATACTTCTGTTCAAGAGGTCGGCCTCCTGGGCTTGCTGCGCCGGTTGTTGGATCCACCGTCCAATGCTGTGGTCAGAGTGACTGCGATGGATGCTGTTGCTGCCATCTAGGGTTTTGTCACGAGCTCATTCCTTAAGCTGTAACGTCTGGTTCGGCGACCACGAATACTCCTGTTTGAGTCGGCCTCCTTGGCTTGCTGCGATGGCTGTTGGATCCACTGTCTACGCTGTGGTCAGAGTGACTGCTATGGATGCTGCTGCTGCCATCTAGGGTTTTGTCAACGAGCTCATTCCTTAAGCTGTAACGTCTGGTTCGACGACCACGAATACTCCTATTTGAGTCGGCCTCCTTGGCTTGCTGTAGGGGTTGTTCAATCCACTGTCGCAGGCTGTGGTCAGAGTGACTGCGATGGATACTGCTGCTCCGTCTAGGGATTGGTGACTGGACTTGTTCGTTGCCCTGTGACGACTGGTGCTGCGACCACGCCTACTCCTGCTTAGTAAGTCGGCCTCATTGGCTTGTTGTAGGGGTTGTTCAATCCACTGTTGCAGGCTGTGGTCAGAGTGACTGCGATGGATACTGCTGCTTCCGTCTAGGGATTGGTGACTGGACTTGTTCCTTAAGCTGTAACGTCTGGTTCGGCGACCACGAATACTCCTGTTTGAGTCGGCCTCCTTGGCTTGCTGTAGGGGTTGTTCAATCCACTGTCGCAGGCTGTGGTCAGAGTGACTGCGATGGACACTGCGGTAGCACGTCGACTGAGACGCATGGTCATTGTGTTTTTGGGAGCAGTAGAGGCTGTAGGGGTTGAACTTTCTGCCGTAGAACCCACCGCTGGACCCACTCGTGCTGGTTCCGATGCTTATGTCATCCCGAGTGACCCGACGGTTGTTCTTGGTTTTCTCAACATAAGAGTCAAGGCTACGTAGATTTCGTGCAGCTAAGCCGTCCTTGCTTGTTCCTCTGGTCCTCTCACATCGACCGCTGACACATAAGCTTTGACGATCGATCGACTGGCTTCGAATGGAACCACGACGACGCGTTTTTCTGGTGTGATCTTGCACCAGAGCCAATATACCCGCTTGTTCCTGTTGCTCCATCAGATATTCCTCATGCCTGTCTTTATCATCCTTCTTCTCGTTACTGAAGCTTTTCAATGAGGCAGCGTCCCGTCTCTTCTCGAGAATCTCCTCCAGTTTGACGCTCATGTCATCGTGATCATTCCCTTCATCTCCTGCCCTGGATCCTAGGAGTTGGTCCAATGAGAAGGGGGCTATGCCTTCACTGCTGATAGCTGCACCGTCGTCAATCATCGTGTGATTAGTGTGTTTGTGAGTGAGAAGATGGGTTTGTGTTGGGTGGAGGGAGTTGTGCATGTAGTGACTTGTGACCATAGCATGAGACCAGATGATGAGTAGCGAGCCATGCTAGTAATTGTCGGCCGGTTCGGTACAATTGATCTTTGATGGCTGCGGGAGGTTCCCGGATAATTGTAAAGGCAGTCTCGGTGTTCGCTTTTAGCCACTGGCTGTACCACGGCACATAGCAGTAGGACAAGAAGCTTTCCGTTCTCCCTGGTCTAACATCGTTATGGTCCTACGGAAGTCTCTTAAATGTCCTTTCTCCATTCCTTTGTCTGCAGGCTTCCGTCCAAATTCTCAATCCAAGGGCCTTCTGGGGGGAAGCCTAAAAAACGGAACATCGGTTGTGCTTTTCTCAACTCCCGCACCCTCGATCATGCCACTCAAGAAAACTCTGGTTCTCATCTACTGGTACGATTGTTCATTACCAGCAGCTGCAATTCTAGCTAGCTAGCTATCCAAAATTACCTCTACGCCTTCCGGCTATCTAGCTAGAGCTGGAAAGAAGTTGTTCCAACCTCGAAGGGCCTCCGGTCTAGCTAGATCTCAAGTCTTTGTATTGACATTTTGATGGTACAGTATGTAATGTGGATTATTTTTAAAATTTGAAGTGTTGATTTCCTCGGCTTGTTCAGCGGGCTCCGTAGTGGAGGAATAACGTAGCCAGAAAGAAAGCCGAGTTTGCGGATATTCCGTGATCTGGCCTGCATCCAGGGATGTCTTTTAGCTGGATGTCAATAGCGCCGCACTTCCTTTCTGTTGCTGCTGCAAATAGCCTTCACCAGGTGATGACGTATCAACTAGATCCGTTGCATCCTTCCATTTTAGCCGGAGCTCTGCTAGTCGTTCTGATTTGGAGGTATCATTTTTTTCGGTTGATCTCTTCGAATCATGTGATCGCGTACTGGGTTGTTCGCCACCACAAACACCTGGAGTGGTCGACTCCTTTGCCCCTTCATTGTGGCTATCCCGTTTGGAACGACGCTTTCCCGATGATTCCACAGAACTACGCTTGGACCTTCGTGAAGATGATCGTTGGTCGGAGCCAATTTTGCTCCTAGAGCTGCTGCGCCTGCTGCGGTCAGCAGGGGGCTTTGGGTCCGCTCCATCGCTCAAGTGTTGCAAAGCTTCTTTGCGCTTGGAGAGACTCTTTGTTTCGTCTTTGCTTCCGTCGTTGGTGCTTGATCGATGCGAGGAGCGCTTCGAAGATCTCCTCGAAGACTCACCACCTGCGCTCCGACTTCCTCTGGTCGACTTCGATCTTGTTCCGTATCGCTTGAAAGTAGGGTTGGATCCACTGCGTGCGACGCGGGTTCCGGAGGACTTGGCTGCTTTGTCGGAATCGTCCATGTCAATCAAACCTTGCTCTGACTTCACACGGCGCACGCTGCCACCTGAGGACGCTTTGTCTTTGCGACCTGAGGCTTTGCTTTCAGCTTTGCCCTTGGGCTTACTCGAGCTGCCCCGTTTCGGTTCCTCGACTTTTCCCCCGTCGTTGATTGTGCTTTGATCTGATTGTTCACACGTTTGCCCTTTATAGTGTTCTGTCTGAGAAAGTTTCTCGGAGACATTGGTGGACTGTCGTTCGCCGTCTCCATTAGCAGCTTCTTCCGTTTCGTTTCGGGCAACCTCATTTGTGTGTGCCGCTGGAATAGACTGCTGATGATCATCATCAGCGCTGTTGCTTGCTTTCTCCAATGCATCATCAATGTTGTCGGCTGAAGGTTGCTTTTTACACCCGTCTTCATTTCCAGCTTCTTTCTTCGTACTGTCGTCCGTTTCGGTGGGATGTGACTGTGCACAAACATCGTTGGTCTCCGTTTCTTTGTCGACCACCTGCCCGAAGAGATTGGTTTGGGGTTGCTGCTCAGAATCGCCGACACCTGTCTTTTCAGCTTCGTTTTGAACGATTTCTTCATTGCTTGTGACTGGGCTCCGTTGTTCAGGTTCTTCTCCTGGTTTGATTTCTTTCTCGTCACCCTTGGGATGTGCCTGATCGCCATCGCTACTTATCGCCGTTTCCTCCCTATGAATGTCCTGACCAGCATTGTCTTGAACAGCTTTTTCGCTGTTTCCACTGCAAGTGACGTCGCTACCTTTTGGAGCAGAACGATCAGCACCCCAGAATTTCTCCGAGATACGAGCAACGCTGACATTGTCCGTGCAAATGCGCCGACGACTACCCGAACGCTGGAGTAGATTGCTGCCACTATTGCATCGATGCAGCCCGCGACCCTGGTGATTCTTCAGCATTGCTCGGAGATCACCAGTTGAACCGGCCACGCTGGAACCAGAGCCTTTCAAGCCAACGTTCCTGCCGGAGCCAACCCTTTTGAGACCACGACCAAGATCTTCCTGCCGGAGTCTTCTGCTCGCAGAAGAAGAAGTCGCCCTACTAGCGACACTATTGCTGCCGCGACTTGAGTGTTCTTGTCTGACCTTGTGTCTGGAGCCAACCCTATTGAGACCCTGACCCAAGTCCTCCCGTGAAATGCTTCTGCCTGAAGAAGCTCGCCTGACACTACAAGTAGAGCCTTCCTTGTTCATATTCCTGCTTGATGAAGGCCGACCAAGGCCAGTGCATTCTTCCTGATTAATCTTCCTGTCAGAACCAACCTGTGTAAGACCATGGCACAAGTCCTCCTGCGAAATGCTTCTGCCAGAAGAAGCTCGCCTGACACTACGAGTAGATCCTTCCTTGTTCATGTTCTTGCTTGCAGCAGACCGAGTGAACCCTTGTAAAGACTCTTCCTTATGGACCTTCCTGCTTGAGCCAATGCGGTTGAGACCCCTGCCAGAAGATGATCGCCTAACACCACGAGTCGAGACATCCGTTTTCAAGTTCCTATTTGAAGAAGAAGACTTGGCGAGGCTTCCGTTGTCAGTGAATTCTACCTGCCCCAGCATGCTAGAATTGGAGTCGCTCTTTTTGACACCATCACCAAACAAGACCTCACATCCGAGTTTGTCGCTAGAAGAATGTCGACGGAGGCCATCCCTAGATGATTCTTCGCGGCTCATATTTGTATTGGAAGACGAGAGACTCAGCTTGCCGGCAGCAGGAATGGTATCTTCCTGATTGACTCTGCGACCGGAACCAACGCATTTGAAACCGCTTCCCCAATTTTCCTTGTCGAGCTTCTTCTCAGAGTCAGCACGAGTGGAGATCAGACATGCGACGTCATTTGCAGTGTGAACCCTTCTCAGTTCAGGACCCTTATTCTGACCAGCACTTCTACCGCATTCGCCCCTGCCAAGAAGACGATCCGAAACATCCCCCGTGTCCGATCTCTTGAGTCCTGGTCCTCTTCTACTTCCAAAGGTTCTACCAGAAATGGTGCGACGAAGTCGAGGACTGACATCATGCTCCGGGGTGCGAGATCGTCGAAGAGTCGGACCCTTTGGGTTGACTTCCTGGTCTGACAACTGGTTGATACTGGAATTAGAACTGGATTTGCTCAGGCGGGAATGACTGCTGTTTCTTTTCAGTTCGTCATTTTTGGATCCCACCCGTCGACGAGAACTGCTTCGCCGATGCTTGCTTTCTTCTCGTTGCTTACTAGTACGCGTCCTAGAACTTTTATTGTCGTCTCCCTTCGAGTTGCTGCTGCTCATCGAAGCCCTTCCCAAGCTGCTTCTTCGCGACCTCGAGGAGCGGTCTCCCCGCACCACACAATCTGGTTGGATCATTTCTTCCCCCGATTTGATTCTCCTTAGGCTCCTCTTTTTTGTGCTTGTACTACTAGGTGGCGTAGTACCCGTCCAGCTGGCATTCAGCGATAGAGCCTGCCCCGAGTGTCTTCTCTTGATTTCCTTCATGTTTTCCGCAGACCGAAAGGATCGTGGAATTCGCTGTGCCGAGTGGCTCTTTTTCATCATCAGAGTGTCATTATGATTCTCGGACGACCGCAATCGTTGTGCCGAAGCACTCTTTCGCATTGTTGTCTGACAGGACGCCACGGATCCAGCACTGCTGTGCTTGCTACCCATGCGTTGCAATCCTTGTCCAGAGGACGTCCTTTTAAAAAGGGAAGAAGCATGGGCTCGTTTACCGCTTGCCGAGGTGGCCACGGTTCGATCGGTTATGAGGTCTTTGGAAGAATTGGATCGTTTGAAAAACTGATCCAAACCCTGACTGGAATCGGTCCTGTCGAGGAGGTTACGACGCGAGCTCCGTTGCTTGTGGCTCTGCAATAGCAGGGCTTGACGGTTTTCACCATCATTGCAAGGATTGCCCTCCAAGTCGCCAGAGTCATCCTTCTGCTGCAACAAGACATTTGCTGAGATACTTCCAGATAGTTTGCTGCTTGCCGCTGTAGTGGTCATGGTTCGATCATTCATGAGGTTTTGGGAAGAATCGGAACGCTTGAAAAACTGATCCAAGCCCTGACTCGAATGGGTCCTCCCGAGGAGGTTGCGACGCGAGTTTCTCTGCAATAACAGTGCTTGGCGATTTCCACCATCATTTGAAACATCATCCTCCAAGTTGGACGAGTCATCCTTCGTCTGTGGCAAGCCTGTAGGCGAGATCCTTTCAGATAGTTTGCTGCTTTCCACTGTAGTCGTGGTTCGATCGTTCATAAGGTTTTTGGACGAATTGGACCGTTTGATAAACTGATCCAAAGCCTGACTGGAATTGTTCCTACCAAGGAGGTTGCGACGGGAGCTCCATTGTTTGCGGCTCTGCAATAGCAAAGCCTGGCGGTGCCCCCCGCCCTTTCCTTCGTCTGATTCAGACTCTGACGAATCATCATGATGATTCTGCAACAAGCTTCTCGCCGAAATACTTCTGCGAACGCGACCAGTATCGGATGTGAGTTGTCGTCGGAAGCTTAGGCTTTGATTGTCTGTTTCCTGCGTCTCTAGAGTGGCCGTCCTTCGTAGAAACCCCAACGATCGATCCGAATGGCTGCGCTTCATCACACGAGAGCTAGCTCCTGAAATGACCGATTCTGCCGAATTGCCTCCATTGGTTTCGTCTTCGTCGTCGTCCTTTGACAGCGATATTTCCCGCACCACAGCTTGGGCTTTGCGTTGTGAGAAGATGTCGTCGAGTTTGTCCTTTTGCTCGTCTTTCCAATGGAAGAGCCGGTCGGGACAATCGTTTTCCCATTCCGACTCTTCGTCGTCGTCACTGCTCGTGTGCAACATGGATGTCATGTTGCCGTCTGGTTTCTTGAGTAGTAAGGAGCCACTGGCCATATCCTCAGCGTCATAGACACAGCACATGGAGGCGTCCGTGGTCACCACAGAAGTGGTATCATCATCATCATTTAAACCCCCATATCCGTTCTTTTCTTTCGTTGTCTTTTTCTGTTGCTTCTTCTTCTTCTTTTCTTGAAGAGCGCTGCTCATGATCACCAGCTTCATTCCTTCGCAGACCTTGACATCTTCAGCCACCGGTTGTTTGGAACTCTTATCCTCTTCGGTCTCAGGTTTCTTACTCCTGCTACCCTTGGGCTTGCTCATGATCGCAGCCCGTATACCAACCTATGAGCTATCCCAATACCCTCCTCAGGCCAATGTACCCTTAGCTGCTGTCACTTGCTTTCAATTGATTGTGTGGATTTGCTCTCCGTCAACCTGAGCACCTGATGAGCTCGTCGTGGTGCAAGCATGGGTAACACCATGAAAAAGGCTGTGTGGCTGCTCCCATGGATGACCGGAAGATCACCAGTGGCGATAGCCTGCGATTGAACATTCATCGGTCAAACTTTGCGCCTTACTATTTCGGGCCACTGCCCATAAGACACAAAAGCAGACAACACTGGGAGAACTATTCGCGAATAAGACTGGAAGCCAGGTTAGAATGGTAGTTTCGGTAAACGTAGGGTTAAAGATATTCTTTAACTCTCTTTTTTGTATAAAACTATACTTTACCGCAACTTCCTGGACTCCAAAGTAAAGCACAGTGAGATCTTAGTGTTGATCCAGGCAGGGAGCCTAGTGAAGAATTGTTAGTAATAAAGTTTGTTATTAACAATTATGAGCATGGTAACTGTCCCAAACTGGAGCACACAGGCCCAGCTGGGGAGTGCCAACTCTAACAGCTGCTAACGGTTTTGGCTACCCTGCTTCTGGGATTCCAAGCAGGGTGGGCTACTAGTGGGCTTGCTTGCATTTAATAGTGACTGGGATCTGGGACAGGACCTAAAGACTTAAGGGTCCTAGTTCCAGATCAACATCCCGAATACCGCCGATTGCCATGTCGATAGGCGTTGGTAGTGGCATTTGTAGTCTCTCTGGGAACCATGAAAGAGTGTCTGCTTTGCGCTCTCTCTGTGTGTCCCATATCCATGTTCTGAAGCATCTATACGCGTCTAACTCCGGTCCTATGTACCAGCCATCTTTGCCTTTTGGCGCCCAAGTTCCTCTTTCTTTCGGTTTCTCGTGCACGACGACGTGGATTCCTGGTGGTGCTATAGGGGTTGCTGTAAAGTCGTAGTTGCCGAAGACCTGTGCGTGTGCCGACAGTGCTGGATTGATTCTCGATCCTCTGAGTAAGTTAAGGGTGATGGTGCACTGGGGGATGAGCCGGTCCCAAAGGTGTAGTGGGAAGTTGCTGTCTGTTGTGCAGAGGCCTGCAATCAAGTGGTTCTTGTACGTTTGGATTGCTCTTTCTGCTGCATTTCGTCTGTGAATTCCTGCTGGAGTTGTCTGTAGCTGTATACCTTCAGCATAGATGTGCTCTTTGAGGTGTTGGGAGCATTCATTGTCCAACATGTGCAGTTTTGGTCGGAGGCCTGCGCGGACTAGCTTGTTGTGAATTGTCGTCCATGCCTTGATGTGTGACTGTGCTGTTCGTGTTTGCATTGGTTCAGCGTGTATTGAATTGCTGTCGTAGTGGTAGAGGATGAAGAGGTAGTTGTTGCCATTACTGGATGGGATGAAGAAGCGGCCTGTTTGGTCGGAAAACGACTTTCCTGTTGGTTGGAGGACCGCCGCAAAGCAAGACTGTTGTTCGGTGCTGTCACGGAGTTCTTCATGGTCAGGGAATTCGTAGTCTGTTGGTTCCGGTAGGAGCGGTAATGGTTCCGGTGCCGTTTTCGTGGACTGAATGCCTTGTCTTTGTTGATTCATGTGCCCCTTGACCGTGGCTAAGGAATGTGGGGTGTACTTGGCAAAAGTGTCGTGTGTCAATCCGGGAAAGTTGTGTATGTAGCCTTTGTCTAGGGCCTTGTGTACGGTGGATGGCACCGGTGAAAATAGGGCTGCATGTGTGAATGCAACAAGGTCTGCGGGCGTGGCTGTAGGTGTGGTTGCCATGAGATTGGCTTGTTCCAGTTTCGGTTTGTCATTGAGGTCGAGTTCCCATAAGTGGTTTGTTGCTGGATTGCGAGTGCCCGTCAAGATGGTGTCTCCCATGAATGAGATGATGCACTCATGTGAGCGAAAGAGTGCCTCACATCCAGCGTCGCATAATTTGCCGATTGATAGGAGAGAGGTGTTTCCCAGTGTTGGGAAGAGGTGTGCCTTGGTTGCTTCCTTTGGCAAATTGGGTATGTCGAGGTGACACGTGTGGGAAGAGCTGATGACTGTGTTGTCTGGAAGAGTTACCCGTATGGGGCTGTCTGTTGTTTTGATGTTGGTGATGTTTTCATTGCTGATGGCTATAAAGTCCGTGGACAAAAAGTGTCCGGTGCTGCCTGTATCTGCAATTAAGGGGGCTGTGGCGCTGTTTGCTGCCTCCTTTTTGTCTATTTGTGTTTTCGGGGGACCATTCGTCGGTATCTTGTTTTCTTTTAACTTATCCGAATCTATATTATTGTTTTTTACTGTGCTACTAGATTGGTGTTTTTGTTGTACTGTTCGATCTGGCTCCCGACGTTCTCAGGTGCGATTGGCAGGTGGCTGTTGGTTTTCTTCGTTTTCGCGTTCCTGTCTTTGTGGGCGACGGAATACAGCGCGTTCTCCTGCCTTGCGTCTAATGATGCAGCAGCCTCCAAGCATATCATCGCCGTTGGCCTCGGTCTTGTGGCCTGGTGCCTTCTTGGTGCAATCTTTGCTGGTGTGGTTGCTGTTGGTTCCAAGGCCATGCGTCCAGCAGTAGTACATGACTGTGCCGCTGCCGTGCATAATGACTTTGTTGGCCGTTTCGTTGACTGGCTTCATGCTTGCCTTGTTGGCATAGCCAACTTCTTTGGTAGTGAGGATGCGACGTCTTTCCTTGTCTGCTTCGGTGAAGTGTGTTTGGAGGGCGTCCATGGTTTGGGCGTCGTCGCTCATTTTCCTCCAATCTTTAATCGCATCAGTAAATACCCCACTGTTGGTTAAGTTTTTGATGGCGGCTCTGACTGCCATTTTATCGGAGATGGTGTCATGGTCAGCTGCGAATTTTTGTGCATCTTTGAGCTGGTTGTAGAGGTCTTCAATGGGTTGAGTAGGACTCCACTGAGCATGCATCCTTTTCATGTTGTCCTCGAGATCATCGGCATTGACTTTTCCATACGTCGTATCTAGATGTGTGAGGATGGCCAATGCTGTTGACCTGGGCATATCCATACATCTCGTGCTTCAATGACTTGATGAATGTGTCCGGGATGGCGTCCAAAAGTTGTTCTGGAGGGCTGTTTCGGTGGCTCTGTAGATGAGGAATTTTGTTCAGTTGGCTGCGTATGTCCTGTTTTTTGTGCTTTGTGGCTGGTGGGGGCATCTCCATGGATAGGATTTGGTCCTGGGTGGACTGGTGCGACCCATGCGATGGCATTGGGGAGTGCATTGAAGCTGCTGTGGAATGACAGGTGCTAGGTGCCATATGTCCTCCTCCGAGGGTAGATGTACCGCCATGGCATTGGCATTCAGTTCTTGATGAATGATTTTGAGGGTGTTGTAGGTAGGTTTTTCATCGTCTGGGATGGATGTGAGTGTTGCTTTGGCAAAGTTGTCGATTGCCGTAAAGGATGTCATGGTGGTTGGTGGTGTTGACGGCAGCTATGGAGCGAGGCTTTTGCTGTTGCTCTGCACCGGTGGTGTAGAGGTGTCGATTCAGTTAGATTGTTAATAACTGTTGATCCAGGCGGGAGCCTAGGTGAAAATTAGTTAGTAAAAGTTTGTTATTAACAAATTATGAGCATGGTAACTGTCCCAAACTGGAGCACACAGGCCCAGCTGGGGAGTGCCAACTCTAACAGCTGCTAAACGGTTTTATCTGGGACAGGACCTAAAGACTTAAGGGTCCTAGTTCCAGATCAACACTTAGTACAGTATGCATACGTAGTACCGGTACCAGAGTACGACTCGACGGTCACTACGACACCCGACACTGAAGCCTCATGTGCTGTTTCGGGAAGTCAAAAAATAAATGATCTGCACTCATGCATCCAGTCCAGCGCAGCCAAGCCGAGCTCGAGTTGTTGCACTGCCAGACCAGTACCAAGAACTATAGGTGTTTGCCAAGAAGAGATCGAGGCTCCCCGCTGCCTTGGTACCAAAACAAATGAAAAAGTCAACAGTTGATCAAGCAGGTACGGTACTTGTAGGTCAGATGGTTGTGCCGGTGGAGTTCTCTCTGGGTGCGTGCAGACGTTTGCTTGTTTGAACTTGTGTCCTCTTATTACTGCTTGTAGCCCAAAGACAGATATGCTACCGGTATAGAATTGAGCAAACGCCAACCAGAGCGCTGTATCCGACCTGTCTTTTCATGCTGCACTTCTTGAGTTGCTTTCTCGGCATCATACATGTAGCTAGCGAGACACTCTGGTAGGGCCTTCTTGGCTGGCGAGTGTGGATCGGAACCAGAGAAGGATGCAGGATAGCAGCAATGTACAAACATGAAACATGAGCAATTTGGCCTTTGTAAACATCAAGTAATACATGACACTGTACAAGGTTCCGCCCGCTTGGGAGTGGACTCGGGGACGCAACCATTCGAAGCTTTAGCAGAGGGACTGATTTGGAAATAACATTCGTGGCAAAAATGGTTTAACATGAGTCGAGTCCTCACAAATTCCAAGGTAATAGTTAGTTGATTGTCAAGGGGCCTGAACTGACTGCCTTCCCATGATCCATCCAGGTACTGGACTGGAGAGCCATGGATATCGGTACTCCTAAGGCAGCTGATGACAGATCGATCAGCAGTAGAGGTGCGACGTATCGGTACGGTACCCGGTGGAGCTAGAGCTATGGTAGCTACTGGTACCAGGTATTAATAGTGGTGCCACCTCATCATTGGACCGAAGTGGTACAACCTCAGTTTTCCGTGAGCTCATTGTTTGAGGCAAAAGAAGCTTAGCATGGAGCCTGGAACACCCAATCTGAGCCATAAATCGAGCAAGTTTAGCACTCATACTTCAGGTTTCAAGGTTAAACTATGGTAGCCTCAGTCTTCCATCCCAACTCTCACTACTAGCTAGTACCAGCAACCATAGTGGCTAATTTTGGCTGAATTGGCTGCTAATAATAAAGGCCGAAATTGGGCCCTGGATACTTTTGCTCTTTGCCTGATTGTGATACATAGATCTGTCGGTACATGCACAGGTACGGGTGAGTCCCACGAGACTTCGAGAAAAAATGAGAGGGATGGCTTTCAGTTCTGAACCGTACTAGTACCTGGTACCTGGTACGACTGTACACGATCGGCTTGATAGTAGAGGTGCGAGGATACCGTACAGGTACTCGCACGGCAGCTGATGACAGGCAGATCGATCATTGTAAGGGTGCGTGGTATCGGTAGAGCTACCGGTACCAGGTACCGTACCGTATGGTAGCTAGCAGTGCCACCTCAGCCATCGCCATCCATTTGACTGCACCGATAGAGGAGGCTATTAGCTAGGAGGTGAAACGGTGAAACCTCATTTATTTTTCCTTGAATCAGTGTTTGAGGCTTTTACAAGGGGGCAATTCGAATTGTTGTACGAGTACCTGAACGCAACTAGTCGAGTGACTCAGTCCCCTTTTTACTAACTCTTTGCTGGCTTCAGGAACCAACAGACTTAATGCTCAGTAAGACATTGAGTCTTGAAAACTGTTTTGAGCCACTTGTAAAAGGTGATCATATTGAACAAAAGACTTCTTCAGTACCAGCAAATAAAATGGGTTCGGTACAATGTCATTTTCTAGAAAAGGAGGTCCAGGTGGCACTCTGCGGCCTCAGTGGTGCTTGCTCAGTACTAAAACAAGATCGCTGGAACTTCAACTTCCGAAATACACATGTAGACAACGATGGGCACAAACTTCTACTGCACACAAATCAGGCAACATCTGCAGGCACAACTGAAGCAAACTTACTTGAATAGCCACACCATCGTGCTTCCATCCTAACCACACAGAGCCCAGCCATGAGCAGCACGCCTTTAACCCCTTCAACGCCTCGACGTAGCTTGAGAGCACGAAGGTCCACTGCCAAAAGTCTATTAAGCAGACACATGCAGCAACAAAAGCCATCGACCACACTGCAAGGGGGTCTGCTGGAGATTGCCTTGGCAGACGGCTCCGAATGCGGGGACAACTACACGTGTACTACTTCAGAAGATTCCTTTGACAAGGACGAGTTTGCTCCGGATCTGGAGTACTACGAAGATCAAGATCAATCACAACTTCAGTCAAGGCGGAAAGGTCGTGGGCGCAGAACAGATGGTCTTGTAGATGATCCTGCCTCGACTCGACGGAAATCTGAAACAAAGAAGGGGTCGCCCAAAGCAACTGAACCAAGAGCGACAAGAAGACACCCAACCCGGCAGAGATCCAGGTCTCTAACGGGAACAAGGGACACTGCTGGACTCCGAGGATCAAAGAAACCACTTCTACATGGAGATAAGGTTTGGGCAGGAAAAGTGGATGCCCCAGCTGAAGTACAAGCCCTCAAGGCTGCCAAAGCTGCCAAAAAGTCTGCCAAACGGGCAAGTCAACAAAGACGTGCCTCTATCACCATGGGTGAACCAACGTCCGCTCCCAGACATAAGGTTCTTAATAGACGTTCTACCACAATTGGTATTCCAATTCACTCCCAGAAGAAGCCAAGTGGTGGCCTGGCAGACGAAGATGTTCATCAAGCAGGGTCTCCTTCAAAGCCAGAATCTCCATGGCGTCGTGGACGGAAGCCAGCATGTGGGAGTGGAAGAACACACCCGCGGTCAGACAAGCAAGATCTAGGACATGCAGATCGGAATGAGTTCGATGATCTTGCGAAAGCTCCCGTTGAAAGAAAACCAAAACCAGAGCTGATGCCATCTGCGAGAGCTAGACTAGCCACGACTAGTAAGCCAGTGGCAGTGGCAGTGGCACCAACAGCAGCACCGACTGCAACCAGAAGACGCCCAACTCGACAGAGATCCAGGTCCCTGACAAGCACACGAGACACTACTGGACTCCGGGGATCAAAGAAACCCCTTCTATACGGGGACAAGGTTGCTAATGGAAAAGTCAATGCCGAGTCTGAGGTACAAGCGCTCAAGGCTGCCAAAGCTGCCAAAAAGGCCACCAGACAAAGGCGTGCCTCTATCACCATGGGTGAACCTACTTCCAGACCGAAGGTTCAAAATAGACGTGCTACAACAATTGGTATCCCAATGCACTGCCAGGAGCTATCAAATGATCAACTTGATTCAAGGCACGAAGCTCCGCAGAATCGTGGACGTGAGCCAACACAGGGACGTGGAAGAACCAAGCACGCATTCAGTGATCTTGCAGATGATCCTGTTGAACCAAAACCAATGCCCTTGCTAGCACCGTCTGTGTCTGTGTCAATTCGACCAGGTACCACTAGTAAGTCTACAACAGCAGCGACACAATCAAGAGCAACAAGAAGACAGCCAACACGGCAGAGATCCAGGTCCCTGACAGGAACGAGGGACACTGCTGGACTCCGAGGATCAAAGAAACCACTCTCATATGGGAATAGGGTTGCTCCAGATCAGGTGGATGACTTGGCTTCCAGGAGTATTTCGCAGGGAGAACCTCAATCCCAGATTCCTCCTAGGTCAAGTTTGCAATCATTGACCTTAGACAGTCATCGGGATGGCGACAGCATTATAGATGATCTTTCAAAAAGGAGTTTGGCGTCAAGGAGCTCATTGTCTCGTTTCCTGGAATCGGAAGGGGAAGGTCAAGAACAGACTTCTGGTCAGTCAGGCTCACAATCCGTGACATCAGGTCAGTCCAAAGCAATAGATGAGATCTTGAGGAGCAGGAGAGGTCACCAACAAGGTGGACCCTCGGAACCGGGCTTGTCTACCGGGAGCAGGAGAGATAACGACATGGCTCTAGCTAGCCCTAGAGGTACAAATGCCCAACAGTGTGGATTATCTCGTGACTTGAGTTCACCATCCTTGCGCAGAAAACGAGGACATGATTACCCTGACGAGTCCAGGCTTTTCACGTTGTCGCAGAGGGGGAGCGCACGGCAAACAAGCACCCAGCACTGAGTCGTTTTGAAGGAAGCAACGAGAGCCTGAAAGCCAACTTTATCATGATGGAATAAATAATTATGTTATCAGCCCAGAGGACGAGGTTGTTACCGAGCGACTGTTGACAATGGACTGACTGTGACTCGCTCAATCCTCCACTACCAAAGCTACTGTAGCTTTCCAACCACTCCAGTGACGTAATCATTTCCACTGCTACTAGCTTCGTACTGTAGTAGCTAGTCCCCGCCGTTCGCAACATGGGCCACATTCTTCTTCATTGCGGCCAAATTGTCGTTCCACTGAAACGTCGCCATCGCATTTCCCTGGTCGTAGACGAACTGCTCCCCTAGATATTTGAGGCAGGCCGCCCAGAGAGCCACTTTGTCGGTTGCGACCACCTCTAGCTAGGTCTTTGCCCTCCGTGTCTGACCCAGGGTCGCTTAGGTCTAGTAGCTTCGTAAAGAAGGCTTCATTTGGCATCTGAGTTGCCTCAACAAGCCATGGCGGACTGTAACGCCGCCAACCAAACCCACACAAGCGTGGACTCTCCGCTGGGATCAAATCGAGGCTCGCGGCCCAAACTCCTCGACTGATCCACATGCACAGTGACTAAATTTTGGCTAAATTGTCTGCTAACGGCCGAAATTGGCCGTTTTTAACCCGTGGGAAGTGTGTAAAGGTTGCGTTTCCTTAAGTATTATTCAACTGCAACGTCCGCTAATTCAGTTCTACGCACCTTTCTTACGCACTTTACGCACTTTATCTTAACAAGTGCGTAAAGCGTAATTACTAAAGGTGCGTAAACGGCATAATTATGAGCCATGGTGCAGAAAAGTGCGTAAAGAGCGTTAAATTACATATAGCAAATTTATGCAGGTTATGTATAAGTGCGTAGAAATACGTAATTATGCACCTTTGGTCCGTAAAGTGCGTAATTACGCACCATTGGTCCGTAAAGTGCGTAAAGTGCATAAATCAAAATAGTTCGAAATCAGTCGTTTTAAATATTAATAACACTTTACAGAGCGTTGCTGGTATGTGTATTAAAGTCCCAGTCCCACTGCGACATTTGGCCCTTAAGTCCACCAGAAGCACGTCCCACGAGCAAGCCTGCATACCTGCCAGGCTTGCGGGACCGTTACATAGATGTAGATCCAGCCCATCCCCTAACGGCATTTACCAATGCCAACTGCCGTTTTGGGACAGAAACCACCAAAGCCAATAGCTCATAATTGTTTCTGACCTCCGATTAAAACCTTAGAGCTACTGACTTCAATAGTTAGAAAGCAATATTACAACCCACCGATCAACGACCAAATTCGCTGATCCACCCGTTTGATCAACATCTCACTACCCAACACCATCACCATGGCCTGAAAGCGTTACAGTTCCTCCCACGACTCAGAGTATCCGTGAATAGATTGAGTCATGCTTCATGAGTCAACACGATGGAATAGAGAACGCTGGCAAGAACACGTTCTCAATGAAACCAAAAGAAACGGTAAACTGGAGTATTCGACAGGAGTAAAGCATCCTGCCAACGAACCGTTTCATGTAGATCTCACGTTGACTTCCGCATGAATCAAGATCAACCATCACGATGCATTGATCTAACACGCTACAAGCTAGCTTTGCGGATCGCATCAAGCAAAGCTCACAACACAAGATTATGAATTACTAAGAAGCGAACTTTGCATTTACCTTGCACTCGTCTTGAATAGTTGCAGTTGATTTCGTTGGGCGGTAGCTACCTCTATGAGATTGCACTACGCTAAAAGCTAGTGTAAAGATCTTTCGAGTGTTTTGAGTTTGAGAGAATGAAAGTTATGAGTAGAGATTAGAAAGCGAAAACTAATCAACGGAGAGGATCCACAATCAAAGGATCGTAGATCTGAACTCCGCGGGAGACTGTAGAGTGTGATAGAGTAGGTTGCGGTAGCAATCCTACTCACTCCACGACCCAAAACGGACGCGTGGAAGATTCGTCTAGCATTTATCTAGTCGGGAAGTACTCCACGCTGGCTAATATCTAGAGCGATGTTTCATCTCAACCTAGTATGACTAGCAGGGTCATTGAGAACCCTGTCTCAAGGACTATCACGAGAGACTCAGTCATGAGTTCGAACTCAAACCCTATCTAGGATCGAGTCGCGAATAAGTAAGAGCCGTGTATTGATTCTCCCCCTGACAAGGTCACGGAAGGCACGACATCAGTCGGACAAGGAGAACATATGATTAAAGTGCGGGCACTCTCAGATTGGATTGTAGACATGTGCGTCGCACGATGGCAATCCTACAAGGATCAGGCCTTGTATGGGTGTAAATACCTTATGTTCCAACTCGGTTAGACTGTGCCGTCTTGGGCGGTAGTATGTCGGAGCCGTACAGTGCCTTTGTTATTGATCGGTCTTGTGTAAGGATTGACTTTGGCTGACCGTTCGGTTGATACTGTGAATCATCAGTTTCGTTGACTTTGTATTGATAGGGACATGTGTGTGTTCTTCTTATCGGTTTTTCTGGATAAGTCGTTGGCGACGTTCCTTAATGTATTCCGGTTTCTTTGAAACGGATGTGTTAGTCTTGTCACGATTGACCGCGCGAACTTGCGACGAAGTCCACGTTCACCGGAGTCTCCGACCTCTGCCCGGGACTCAGTTCCTCTGTCCATGACAACCGGTCATGGATACTGGTAACCACGTCTGTTTAGAACGATGGTTACTCCTCTCTGTCTGGAGCAGCCTTGTAGTTCATTGGTCCAATGAATCACGAGTTCTTCCTGTTGGTAGGAAGAGCGATAGTTGGATCGCATCTATTATCTTTTTAGTTAAGGGTGGATTCCTCTCGAGTATCCAATGCCTAAATACCAAGTTCTCCTTCGAGGAAGGCCTTGGTAGTGTTGATTTTTAACCACTTCTTGAAGTCTTTGAAAAGGTCATCTAACTATTCAACGCGATCCGTCAGATCGACGTCGTTAGGAGAGTTGATCATCAATATACACGGACATTTCTAGTCATGCATGCGTGTTTTCATCTTCTTGGAAGATGTCGGGACTATTACATAGGCCATGGCAACCTCTGTACCGTGCTTTCCCCTCGGGAGTGCAATGGTACGATGTTTCGAGTGAGTGACAGCTCGATGTGGTAGTGTCCCGTGTTCAGGTCAGACTAGTACGACTTGAATCCATCTAGTTCAAGAGCATGTCCTGTATTTTTGGGATAGGATAAGAGCTTCGCTTGACTCTTTTGTTCGGTTCCCGGAAATCAGAGATGAATCGAACAGATCCCTCTTTCTTGGGAATGATGAAAGTTGGTGCTGCCCACTCGGAACGTTCACCTCTCTTGAGTACTCCTGCCTGCAGAGACGTTCAACCTCCTCTTAAGAGTGTTGGTATGGACCCGTGGAGTAGGTGAGCCCTAGTATAATAGTTTAGCGTCGGGACGAAATTCTACTTCGAGTGTCCATTGCAACTCTCCAAAGTATCCTCGACTGGCCGAAGCACTTGGTTGAAAAGGCATGAGGCAGTTCTTGCTCTTCCTTTATAACGTTTCGACTCTGGCACATCTGCCTAAAGTCATCTGTTCGTCTATGTCGTATCAAGAATCTTCTTGAGATATACCTGCATTGTCGCTGACAGCGTCAGGATCGGAGAATGGAGAGGTTTCCTTTCTATCGGTAACGCCATCTTTCGCAGGGAAAATACGCTGTTCCCCTCCAATGACATGGTAGAGAAATCAAACTTGATTCTAAGGTCGAAGAGGTGTCTTAACCTATGATCACGTCTTGCGCCCCCAAGTTCTCTGGTGACCAGTCGTGAAATCCATTTGTATAATTCGTATTATCGTGGCAACTCAGTTAATCACGAGTGTGCCCTTACCTTCGTGCGGGGTTTCGAATCCTTCATAAAGCAGTCCGTAATGGTTGGACGCCCCCATGATTCTCATGAGTAAACATCTTTGCATGAGTTTGAGTGATAAAGTTCCGGCAATGCGATCCTGTATCCAGTAAGCAACAGAGTGGACCGGCGGTTTTTGTCTTCCCTGTTTCTCTCGGTCTGGTTAATCTAACATCGAGATGGGTTTGAGGTCTCTGTCTTGCAACGTTATGATTCGATTTTTGGCCAGCGAAAGTTAACAGCGACTGCGGAACATCAGATCGGTCAGAAGCTAGTTGAGTAGTGTCTAGGAATTATCTAATTGCCGTAGACTTCATTAGTTGACAAACAAATACTTGTTTACTATTAGTAGATAATTCATCACTTAGGTATGAAAAATAGGAACATGGTTCCATTGAATCATCATCCTGGCCTAATCCTATCAGACGGAGATCTCTCCATCGAATGATCTGAAGTCGAAGTCGGCATGCGCCTTGTCAAGAGCTCGGTCATTCTTGTCTATCATTGTGATGGATCCAACAGTGGAGTCGTCCTCGTTGTTGAGTTGTCAACTTGCGCTTGGCAACATGGTTGGCATTCCTTTTCTTCTGCGATCGCGCATGACCGCAGGTGCGTTGAAACCTTCTTCATGAGGACAGAAGGTTCCTTGCGTGGTGTAGCGTCTGGTGTCGTCGGACTTGCGTTTCCAAATTTGTTCTTGTTGTAGGGCGGCTGGCTTGTTATTATCGTTGTCAGCACGAGGACTGAGACTTGGCTTGAGCTCTCTTCAAGTCATAGCAGTCCAGCATGTGTGATGTGCTGACTCGTGTTAGTAGCGCACCATTTTCTTTGCCTTCGCTCTGGAAGATTGGTCGTGTGCGAGTAGACTGTACTTCTTGCTGTGTTGCTTCTTCGTAGAGCTGCTTGCGCATCACCGCCCCTTGTCAAAGTCTCGCAGGATTTCCATGCTTCGCAGAACCAAGGTTCTCACGATAGGAGCTGAGAAAGGGATCGAAGTCGGTTACGTCCATCTTCTTCATTACCACGAGCGTGGAATTCCATGACAAACAATGTCAATGAACTTCGTCATTGGTCAAACGTTTGATTGGGTCCAAAAGTGGTAGACGAGGAAGTTCATCGGTGTTGTCATCCGACTGAGGTTGTACATAAGCCCGAGTAAACATATCAGAGGCTTACGACATACTTGCGGCGCATGAAGCGTTTCTGTTTTCAAGAGCCTTGTAGGAACAGACCGCTTCGATACAGCATTTATGCCAAACGTAATGTCAGCGCTTCCAAAGCAGGCTGAGCTGCTCCGTCCAAGCATTCTGGAAACGTGCTTGGAAAGGGCTTCGCCTTCACCGCCCGTATGTCGCGTGCGAGAATGCGTTGACTGCAACTGGCGCAAGGCATTCCAAGTACTTCACGTGGCCTGCAAAGCTAGATTCGTAATGCTCTTTGCAGAGCTAGAAGTATTTCCTTGAGGAGGTTATGTTGTCGAGGCGTAGCGATGGCAGCCCAACGAAGACCTTCTCACTCGTCCAGCCCACTTGATGGTCTGACGTGGAGTCTCAATCCATTGATGATTTGGACTGAAGGTACTTGGCGCTGTTAGCATCTGCTGGAACAGTGCGAAGTTTGTAGGTAGAGCGAGAATCGCGATTTCGCATTCATCGCGAGGTCGATGAGAGGAAGATTGGTTTGTCGCGAGCTTAGACTGAAGCTGGTGTTATGCGTCTTTGGCAATCTTCATGTGAGGAATAGGTTGAGGTAGCTGAAAGCTATTGTTTGTTTTTAACAAAATGCACTACGAAAAGCTAGTGTAAAGATCTTTCGAGTGTTGAGTTTGAGAGAAGAAAGTTATGAGAGATTAGAAAGCTTGAAAACTAATCAACGAGAGAGATCCACAATCAAAGGATCGTAGATCTGAATCCCGCGGGAGACTGTAGAGTGTGATAGAGTAGGTTGCGGTAGGCAATCCTACTCACTCCACGTACCAAAAACGGAACGCGTGAAGATTCGTCTAGCATTTATCTATAGCGTGGAAGTACTCCACGCTGGCAAATATCTAGAGCGATGTTTCATCAACCTAGTATGATAGGCGGTCATGAGAACCCTTCTCAATGACTATTCACGAGAGACTCAGTCATGAGTCGAACTCAAACCCTATCATGATCGAGTCGCGAATAAGGTAAGAGCCGTATGAGAGACTCAGTCATGAGTCGAACTCAAACCCTATCTAGGATCGAGTCGCGAATAAGGCTAAGAGCCGTGTATTGCAAGATCCCTCTATTCAAGTAGTATTTCCTCATGTTAGCAGATTAACTAGTCGCAGTTACGCACTGCCACATCTCCATCAAGATGTCCGACAAAGCAACCAAACTCAAGCATGTGCTATGCAACCTATGCGGCGAAGAAGCTTCCACCACAGGGTATCTTGCATCCCACCTGCGTCTCGCATTGGCTGGTCAAGGAATCGATGGATGGATAGATCTTCTACTCCTCACCAAAGATGAAGTCATGAACCTCCAAGCTCCCAACAATACCAATGACGCTCCACGACTCGTACCTCTCACCAGGAAGAAGCTACTGCTCGCGGCGATACAGATGTACCACCATTGGTCATTCAGGAGGAAGTCCCCGATACGCATCACTTGCTGGCGGCCACCGCACTCGATGCTTTCAGAGTTGGACTCTTCCAACCCCACGGTGAAATCATCTCGTGGCAGCAAATGAGGCGTAGCGACGCCACGATGACCGATGGCGAGCGTGCAATCGTGCTATGGGACAAGAACAACAAGCCCGTCCGCTCGGAGTTCAGAGAGTTTCGCGACGAATCCTCTTTCATCAAATGGAAGAAGAACTTCCTAAACACGCTCAAATCTCAAGGTCTCTCCCACCTCATTGACTCAAGCTTCGCGGTCACCAACGTCAAGCTCGACGAGAAACAACGAGAATGGATGTACAAGACCTTCGAGGATATCTTCATTGAGGCACAGGCATGATCTGGCGTTCTTGCCAACGAAACCGACAAGGACACCCGTGCGATCTGGAAAGCAATCGACGAGTATTACTCCAAGTCCATGGTCGCAACCCTACGCTCAGACAAGATTTTGTCTTATCTTACCTCTGTCGATCTTACGGATGGTGTATGGATGGTGTATGGCGAGGATCCTAAGCAGGTTTCGTTTCCAATTTCCTCGAGCGGTATCGGCAGTACAATGAAATAAGTGATGAGCCGTACACTGAGCAACAAGGAGCACGTTTCTTGGAACGCTCAATCTCCAAAGCACCAAATCTAGCTGAGTCCCACGAGACTTCGAGAAATTTCTGTTCTTTCGAAAAAATGAGAGGGAAAAAGCGTCAGCGATTTACTACTATTAATAGTATAGTAAAAGCAGTAACATCGATGTTAATGCTTTTTGAAATATGTACTTAAAGGTCTATCGATTCTTAAGACAGTCATTCATGGGTACATTTCCCCGTTCCAAGTATCGACCTGGTACACACGTATCCATTCTTTTTTCTTGACTCAAAAATAAAAAGCCAACCCCACTCGAGGTCTGAAGCTTATCTCAATTCTAATAGAAGCAATGGCAAGGATACTAAAAGGAAGACACAGTAAGAGTAGAAGCCAATATGAAGAAGGAAATCGCTCGATCAGCCCCTGCAATTGGTTCTTGCTGATGCTGGCCTTGGTCTTGGCATGCTTTCAAGTCTGCAGAGTCGCCTTCACCAGCAGCAATGGCGTCAAACTGTGGGACATAGCCAGTGGATTGTCCGTTCCATTCAAAACGCCCAACTCATCTCCTGGGAATGTTAATGTCAGTATTCATACCGGGGCCACTGTCAGTCAGAATGATAGTCGGCAACGGCAACACCCTCGAATTGCCATTTTACTCTCTATGGTACCCTCCAAAATGTGGAGCCGGAGGGGTATAGCCCATGCCAAGGCACAGTTGGACCTATACATCAACAAGGCATGCTATGCCAAACTCTGGCACTATGATCTCATTATCAACACCACAAATTCATTCCAGGAATACACAAATATCAATAGTATCAACACCACCAGAAATCCCTACAGACCCTGGCTACAATTTGGAGCTTGGAATCGAGTCGAACACATGCAAGCTCTAATGGACTCTGGAAAATACGATTGGATTCTTTACGGTGATCATGATATGATCATTCAAGACATGACCCGGCCCATTGAATCCATGTTGCAAGAAGTAGAGCTCTACGGAAAGGACAAATCCGCCAGTGCATTCGTTCCCGTGGACACTCCGGGCAGGAACGAATTTAGATTCTCTTCCTTTGGACTCATGCTCAAGACAAATCAAGTTGGAAGATCCATCCTCAAGCACTGGAGGGAATTTGCCATGGGATTGTGCCCCAAGGGAAACTATCTGCCGGAACCAGGAGAAGAAAACAACACGAAAGGTATCACCTATAGTTGGCGGCACAGTGACCAACCAGGGCTTTGGTACAGTCTTATCAAAACTCATCAAGAGTATTCGTCGGTGCATAGCAGCGACAGCAACAGCGACAACAACAAAGATGCACACGCCAATGAAATGGTCCGGTGCAATAGCGATACAGGATACTTTGTACATTCAGCGGGCGATCTTGGAAGTCACTTTTCAAAATATTTCCAACAAGCCCAAGTTGTCCGGGGAACGGGAGGTAAAGATCTGGCCCATGTCCCTGACAATCAATCCATTCTTTGGTCCCACTTTGGCCAGGATGAAGTGGAAATCTCCGCAAGGAATAACACCATTACAAGTCAGAGGATTGGGAATGGGCCGTTTGCTGTCAACACACTGTGCTGTATGAGAATAAACAAACTGCAAGGACTCAAACCAGCCTTTGCCATGCACACCAAGTACGGGAGCCGAAACTGGCCTGGAGACATGCCACTGCAATTACAACAATGCAAATCAAAGTTGGGATGCTATGCCAACCTTACAGATGAGGGAGTACTGACAGTTGGGTGCCGTGACATTTTGTACTTCTCGGAAGTACTTTTTGCATAGGCCGGCCAAATTGGCTGGCAGACAAAATCAATTAACTGGGGATAATTTTGATTTTCGTAGTTTGAATCTTGTGCATACAGTCGTTCGTCTCGGTGTGATTCTTCGTGTTCCATCAGCACGCCTTTACTATTTGGCGTTGACGTTGTTACATTGCGGAGACTTGCACTTGCTCAATTAATTGCATGGTGGAGTTGCCAGTTTTCAAATGGCGACTAATAAGTGAAGAATCGAATCCTGGTTACGTCGCCCCCTTGAGGCCTCGCTTGTTCACTGCCTTTTCCTCACATTTGGGAGGGGTTGTCTCGGTGCCGAACCAAATGTGATGAGGACGGCATCTATGACCTATCTGCCGGTTTCACATCCCGTCATGAAAAGACTTCCTAATATTTATTCCATACCGACTCCTCCACGAATCCCATATGTCCACTGCTAAAGCCATGGTACAGAGCCGCAGTGACATCCCAGCAGAGAAGTAGTCGGAGCGCACCTTGCTGTCCTTTCAACTTGGCTTGTCACCGGACGATCCAGTCGACGATGATCGCACATTGCTAGCTTTCCCAATCTTTGGGCTCCTAGACCTGTGTTCGTGCGACGAACCGGTGCTAGCTATCAAATCTCGGCAGCTCTTACTAGAAGGCTTGCGATCTTCGTGGTGGTCCGAGGAGCCGGTGCTAGCTCTCAAATCCCTCGAGCTTTTATGCCTCCTGTCGTCCTGGTGCGACGAACCAGTGCTACCGACTCGAAGGTCCTTGGTACTGCGCTGCTTGGGGCTTCTCGATCTGCGATCGTTGTGAGATGTTCCCGTGCTTGCACGCAGACTCTCATCGTGGCTTCGGTTTCTGTGATGATGATTGTCATCCTTCGGTGGGGTCGTCCCCGTGCTCGCACGCATGGTCCCATCTCTGCCACGGCGTCTGTGAGGATGCTCCGATGACCCCGCACTCCCCCGAAGGCTTTCGTCCTTTCTCTTGTGTTTTCGTGCCTTGTGTTTACCTTCCTGGCTTTCGTCCAAATCTGATTTGGATTTTCCGCTGCCTAAGATTGTCGAGCCTCCAATTTCCTCCTTGGTTCCCACATTGCGTTTGTCACCTTCATTGTCGTTTTCGTCCTCGTTGCAATGATCATCCACGGAAGATTGATTCTGATGTAATGCAGAAGGCGGAAGAACATCCTCGAGGGACAAATTGCTATCGTCCAATGAGAATGGCTTCTTGGTAGATTGCTGCCCCAGCATCTTGGACGACCCATTAAAACTGTCGGCTAAAGTCGCCACGGCCAGTCTGGTTCGACTATTGTTTCCCTGGTGGCTCGCGTTCTGGTTGAGAGAGGAATGAGTTGACTTTGGCTGCTTCAGCGGCATCAGCTCTGTGAGCGACATTTCATGATTGTCGTCCACCGGATGTCCCAGTTCCTTCATGCGTTGCCCCTTGCTGGTGACTTTGAAGGATTTTGAATTGTAGGTGGTCGCGTCCACAGACCGCGTCTTCCGCATGCTTTTGGAGACGTGCTTTTCCGAGAGCGCTTTTCGTAGATGATCTCGCCTACCCGGTGGCGGGGTACCACTCGAAGTTCTTCGAGTCAGTTTCGCGATTCGCGGACTGGGCATTGGTTTTTCTTTGGTTGTTCGTTTCACGGGTGTCGTCCGAACCCAGCTAATGGTGTCATCAATGCTGACGTCATCGTCATCATCCAAGTCTTGGAGCTTGGGTTTGCTTTTTTGTCCCTCTGCCATGAGACGTCGCAGACTGGTCCCCTTATTGAGCGAGTTTTTACACTTTGCCGATTGTGGGCGTTTGTTCGGGGAATTGGTTAGCCTTCCATGTCGCCTCTCTGATGGACTGCAGGAGGCGTCAACAACACCACTGAAAGATGCATGGAGCGTGCTGTTGTTGTCTTGACTGATACTACTCCGATTCTGGCGCGGCTTGGCCAAGTGCTGATCGGTTGATTTTGCCGATCTAGTAACGTCCAACTTGTCAAAGAAAGCTTGATTCTCATCCATGGATTTGGCCCTTCGAATGGGGCTGCGACCCTTGCCACCAGAAACCGAGCTTCTCTTTGGGCTTCGGGTGTTCCTACCCTTTGTTGCCGGTGATCGACTCGTATCTCTATTATTTCGTCGTGGTTTCGTACGCTCGTCTCCAGCTGCCGCGGGAGACCTATCCCTCCTGCGTCTTGATTTGTCCTCGTGCATGGGCGACCGCTCACGACGTCTCGATTTGTTGTTGTCTTCCCCCGGTCCCAAAGAACGGTCCCGACGCTTCGCTTTCTCGTCCCCACCACGGCGTTCCGCCCCCACGGATCGTCGTCTCGGTTTCGCGTCATCCGGTCCCACAGATCGTCGTCTCGGTTTCGCATCATTAGGTCCCACGGATCGTCGTCTTACCCGATCCTCGTCGGGTCCCACGGAACGACGTCTTGGCTTTTCTCCCGCCTGTCTTGGCTTTTCGCCGTTGGACGTCTGTCTTGGTTTTTCTGCAGACGGTCTTGGTTTTTCCCGTCGCCAAGTGGCTTCGAATAATACGGGGGAACGTTCTCGATTGACTTTGCGTCGCGCACGAGGACTGAGCGACGAATTTCGTCGTGGTGTATCTGTTCTCCGAGGACTGAGGGATGATCGCCGTGACTTTTCTCGGTGAAGACTCATAGACGGCGGACTCAGAGATGGCCGACTCTTGGCACGTCGCAAGGCTCCCGGTCGAGCAACAGGAGCAGCTTGGTCGCCATCGCCTGTACTACGAGATTTTCGGATACGAGATGGTTTGGGTAGTACTGGTAGTTCCTCCTCTTCCTCGTCGTCATCTTTTTGATGTATCGATTTTCGACGCGAAGACAGAATATTTTGCAGTTTGGACTTGTTTGTGTCCTGCCAATTTGGTTTTTGTTTCGCGTTTTCTTCGTGCTCACTATGGTCACCGTTCTGTTCCTCTGAGGCAGACTCGAACGAATTGGATCTTTCTTCTGTTTGTTGCTGTTGTGTATCAGTGCCACCCTGGTTAAAATCAGCCCAAAAGCCTTCCTGTCCTTGCTGTGATGGTTCCATCTTATTTCTTCCCAAACTTTCCAGAGGATATGGAGTAGTACCCACCTGAGCCATGACACTTGACAAGAGTAATTGTAGTGCAGGGGGTACGTACTGTAGCTTGTGGTACGATTATCCCTTTGCCTTGTGTTTTGGTGGGGGGTATCAGGGGTATACCGCCTTAAAACTCCAGTAAACTGGCCTTATCCTGGGAAGGGTAGGGTATATTCCCGTCGATCTAATAACCCCAGAAGCAACTGAAGGACTTGAGTCTCGTGGATCCAGGTTCAGGTGGGTATTCAGATAGATGATTGGGTCTTCTGAAAGCTCAAGCTCAATTGGATGTCTTCTTCTGCTTCTAAAATTTTAAAGGACTGCTGATCAGGACCTTGCTGTCCTCTTGGCTAGCTAGCTAGTACGGTAAAGGTATCTACTCGGTATCGGTTTCGGTTCAATGGCAGGATACCGGTAGGGCAGCTGGAAGAGGCAGGGAGATAATGGTTCGAAGGGTATGCTACCCCAGGCGTAGTTGGAGCTTGCTTAGGGATACTAGCTAGCTCTAGTGGTCTTAGCTAGCAATAATGACTGTATCTACAGCAGGACTTGCTTTTCTGTGATGGTGGTGGCGAGATTATGGATCAACTCCGTTGATGGCTTGCTTGGATGCCATGGCATGTGATGGTGAGGCTTCAACTTGCTTGGAACAGAGCATGGATCTTTGATCTTGCCCGGTCATTGTAGTAATTAGAATTAATGCCTTCAATGCACCCAGAGTCATGGGAGGGGTATTAGGTAGATAGGATCTATGTACCATAACTTTTCCGCGAATACATTTATTTGTTCTTTGAGGAACAATTCTTTTGAGTAATTAGAACCTGGGTCATCGAACATGGTTCTCAGGTTCTCATGCAATTTCCCCAATGTGTGTCTGACTGTCACTCTCATCCATGCATGACATGTCCAGTCAAGGGCAGACATCTAAAAGAGAAGAAGTATGATTGCTCGTAAGCTCGTACGTCCAGCTTCGTCCTACAAAGTGCTACCCCTACTACTAGCTAGATAGCTGGCTCACCGGCTCACCATCATTCTGGCTTGTGCTACAGTACGATCGGAGCCCCTCTGATCTTCCCAGCCACTGTGATGGCTGTGGAGAGGGCTTCTGTGTCACTCACCCCCTTTCCTGTACCAAGGGCAGACTGCATGCATGGTTCTCCAACGCCACACTGAAGTGCGTGCTGAAGTTGGTGATCTCGCTGCCAAGGCATTCATCCCATCTGCACTTCACAACGAACCCCGTATCCACCTAAGTTGCGCTGCAGCTGTGGATGGTTCCCCTTCCAGCGACTCTCCTGTAGTTCTCACCCCATCCGAGGAACGAGGTGATCTCCTTATCCGTGGCCTCTGGCAACGCGGAACTGATGGCATAATTGATGTTCGTGTCATCAATCTTGATGCTGCTTCTCACTGTCGCAAGGATCCTGACAAGGTCCTTTGCAATGGCGAACGCGACAAGAAAAGCAAGTATCTCGACGTCTGTCTTTCCCAACGCCGCCACTTTTCTCCGTTTGTTGTCTCTGCTGATGGTCTACTTGGGGCCGAAGCTGAGGCCCTCGCCAAACGTATTTCCGCTTGGCTCGCTGCAAGCAAAGTGGCAACGCCCTTACTCAGTGGTGTGTGGCTACCGGTAGCTCTTTATCAAAGCCCATTGCATTGCCCACCGAGTTGAGTCGTCGAGGCTACTCGTCTCTGCCTTCCTTGCAAGTGTTTTCCGGGAATGTACATCATGCTCTTCCAGCTTTGTCCTGCTTTTGAAACCCCAATTTTACCGCACGGAAAAAGGACCCGATTTGAGTCTTCCATTCCATAAAGCTTGGCCCGATCCTGGCTTTCCTCAAATAATCCTCACCAAGCCAATGCCTCAGTTTCTCAGGCTACCCGTAGGGGGTCGAAAAAAGTATAGTTTTGATTCTTCTAAACCTTCTATAGAGAAAGCTTGTCTACAGTAGATAGATAATTTTGTCTACCGATACGCGATCATCCAACTTGCTTCAACACATTCATCTACTCCCAAAGACCCGGATTCCAGCTAATAGTCTTCATTTCGTTGCTCCTTGTCATATTATATATTATTACCGTACAGTTCAGCAATACTTATCGGATGTCTTTTTGCTCCTCATGTCTAGCATATCGGTTCTGGTACTGCTGTTGCTTGTTTTTTCTCGTTTAATTCTGTAATTTCCCGTTTCGGTTCGTACTCGATAGACAAACTCTTCGTTGGATCCAAACGTTCCCGATGCCAATTCTTCTTGTTCCTTTTTGGAGAGCGAGTCCTGTTCGGCTTGTAGACGTTTCAATTTGGCGTCGTCTCGTGGTTTGCGAATGACTTTGTAGGATGTGGGAGTCTTGAACGAAGTCCCAAACGCCGACGAGAGATTGAGAGAGATATCCGACAAGCGCATTGTCACGACACGCATCTGCTGCTGGCCATTCTCCATCACAATCAAGGCGTCTCCCGCTGCAATCTCCTTGCCAAATTTGGTCCCATGACCCGTCACCACCGTACCGCTCGTTGTGATTTTGCCACTGCCCGTCACCATCTGGGGCACAGCTGCTGTAGTGGTGGGCGCACTGGCCACGGATGCCGCTGCCGCCACTGTCGACACGCTCACGCTCGTTTCATCGCCCTTGCTGCTCGAATGCTTGGCCTTTTTCTTCTTCTTCTTTTTCGCATCGTCCCCTTTGAACACTAGCTTGCCTCGTGCCATTATTGTATTGCTATCGGTATTGTACTAGCTAGTATCGTCTTTCTACTATGGATGGGTCTAGCTAGGGATGGGTAGAAGATGGGTACTGCACGGTGCTGTGGCACGAAAGAAAAGGCTCAAAGAGGTACACGTTTACCCCTTTTAACGCGGGACTTAACATTTAACATCCGGTTGCTAGAGATTTACTAGTAAAGCCAAATTTAACAGTTAAATGGCTTTAACAGCAATAATAGGTGCTGAACACTTTTCGAACGCAATATCAGCCAACCACCCCAAGCCTCGACCATGGCGCTGTTTGAGCCATACACAGCTACCATATGCACTACAGCCTCTCCTACTACTACTAGGGAGCTTGGGGTGTCGATTGTTGGGTTGGATTAGAGGGTGAGCTGACTGAGACCGACGAATTCCTCGGCTTCGGATGAATCAGAATCTTGGGGTGGAGGCGGACGCTGCTGACGCTGACGACGACGAGGCTGAGGGCGACCACGCTGCTCAACAGGAGGGGGCACTGGAGGCGCTTCGGCCATAGGAGGCGCTTCGGCCACTGGAGGCGCTTCGGCCACTGGAGGCGCTTCGTCCTCCCCATCGTCAGGAACGAGCTGAGCCACACCAAACGTGCTCGCACCTCCAACAAAATGAACAAACACCGCTCGATTGCCTTGGTTCGAAATGATCTCCAGGTGTTGCATAGAAGAAGAGCGAACAGTCCCTTCAATGCCATCAAAGAAGATGCGTTTGGATGGAAGGAGAACGTTCGGCTTGATGAAAATGATCAGCAGAAGATTCTTCCCTTGATTCACAGCTTCGTGGAGAGTTTGGTTGATCTTCGCTCCCAAAGACTCGCGGTTCCAAGCGCTGATGACAACCGGGGCCTCGTTGCGACGGGATACAGCTTACAATTCAGCTTTACAGCTTTATAAATTGCGGGCCTATTCTAGAAAATAATCAATAACTGCTCACTTATTTGGAAATACAAACTTTACATCTCTTAGATCGTTAGATTAATCAATCCACAATGGTATTGTCGCATGGTAGCATGCGAGGTTATGAGATGTTACTCATTCTTATTCTTATATGTCTATCCCTTATGGTTGTCAATGGAATGAGCTATCCCTTGGTGCAGAGTCCTGAGTTTCCTCTCATTATCTTCATCGGTAGTCCTTCCCCTTATTGCAACTTAATCTGTCGATTGGATCCATATGATCCCTTTGTCGATACCTTGGATTCGCTCGCAAGCAATTCCCTTTTTGTTGATTCGCTCGTAAGCAATCCACTTGTTCCCCTTGTTCTTTATCCTGTTGTCGATCGAAATCGCGATGAGGATCCTATTATCTTGACGACTCGGCTTGTGTGTCATGCATTGAGTCATGCTTCCGGAGCCACTTTACCCCCTATTATTGGCCGTTCCTCCGATTGCTGGCTTGCTGTTGCAGTCGGTCGTTTGAACTGGCTTGCAGTTGGTCGTTTGAAAGATAACAACGCGCTGTCGCTGTTAAATTTAAATTTGAATTTGCCAAACAATTCGGGGTGGGCCTCAACAAGATTGACGTGAGAGCCAAGCATGTGTCACTATATGTGGTGCCGTGAGGCTGTGTGTTTTCAGTTCTCCCTTCATTTATCGATAGCTTCGAAGCTGTTTTCTAAAGACAAGATCACTGGAGAGCTGGAATGATTATGCCCCAGCGACTGAGTTCCAATGACTCCAAGGAGGCCCATCAGCTTGAATCTCGACAGGGTTCTGTTGGCCCGGAATTTGCGAGGAAGCCTGTTTGGAGTTGAGGGTTGAGCAGAGACGACATAGGTGTCCTTAAGAGTAAATTTATGCTTGAAGAAAAGGTATTGATACATACAGGACCGAAGGACCATGCTGGGAATTGATAAGTGCTCTGGGTCTGGGTCTGGATCCAACTGTTTGGCTGACTGAAGCGAGGAAGAACAAGTTTGTTGATGCGATAGAGCCACTGAGAATGGTATAACCTTTGAAATACAGAAGCAAGTTGTAAAACCACAAAGAGAGACAAACACAAAGGCCCAGCCAGAGACATAGTCCAATGATGGTACAGCAGGAAAGGAGATGGAATCAGCCCCTTCAGTGTGGGGGCTGTACATAGAATGCTCCCTCCAAGAGTAAGGTCTGGAATTCGAAGTTTATTTGATCCATGTCTGCATCGCAGACTCATCTTCTCCCCCCAATACATGAGAAGGAATAGACCTGGGCTAGAGGGGCATGAGTGGGGCAATAAAATTGGCAATGAGTGGCCAGGACATGAGGTTGCCAAGTGTGTAACTCTACCAGAACATTACATGAAGGCCCCAGTGAAGTAGCTCATGAGGAAGCATGAGTTCGCGGAACTGAAATTACGACCCAGCCATGTAGTACTGCAAGAAATCAAACAAATCCGACATTGGGACTGGTATGGATACAATTCATCAGTGACCAAACAGGGATGTCCGCAGACTGTAAAGGTAGCCCCAGGTTGAAGAAGCCAGGTTTGGCACCAGCATTGAATGGAGTTGAAGCGGAGCTGCGAGCTGGAGCTGGAGCAGGAAGTTGGCACTCCCAATCGATGGGGGTGCCTTGTAATGAAACTTACGGAATCCACGATTCTCACTGGTGAAGTGGGCATATGGTTCCCTTTGGAGAACCTCACCACAGTTGCGACAGTATTTGCAACACCTTGCCGCCATAACAGAAATGTTGTGTTGGTGCATCATCGGGAAATGTTCTCCCATTGGGGCAATGGAAGCAACTGCTGATGAGACCAAGAGCTTGAAGTTGGTTTCAGCACTCAGGCCATTAATCTTGAGCACCTCGCTTAGGACAGATCGTCCTTGGGTGACCGTAGCCCCACAGCAAACAGGCGCCTCCACAGAACGGGTACCACTGGCTGGGGAGCCACTGGTTCTATTCCTGGGTGAGACTACCAAACCTTGTCCTCAACAGCATTGTCGATTGGCCTGGAAGGCTTTGGCCTGGGAGGTCTTTGCATCCAATGTGTTGGGCAGGCTTCATAATGTCTTTCTGGTTATGGAGGACCCGATAGAGGGATCCAAGTCATTCAATGTGTCGAGTGCTTCTAATTGTTTGTTCCATAGTTGCTATCAAATCCGTTATGTCGCTCTTGACAACGAGCTCATGACTTTGGATCTGAAAATATTGACACCCACAACCAAGAAGGACCTCTCAGGGATGTTGCTGGTTATTTCAGGCATTGGATCACTGGACATAAAGTTCAATCGAATTCTCTTTGATGAGCTTGCTTGAATGACAACATACTATGGACACATTTTCCCCAGGAACTTGGTGATGTCCAAAGTGAAGAAGCTTGGCTTTGAGTCTCAATCTTGCGTGAGAGAAGTCTGTATATCTTCTGCAGAAGAGCCAAGAGAAGCTAGGGCCCATTATGCTTGGCTCGAGGGGCATATGATTTCAATTCTTCCTGGAGTGATCAGTGCAAGATTCAAGACAGCCTTTCCCGACAGCAGGCTGGTTAGATCATACGGCAGACAGAGTGTGGCTCAGGAGTCCCAGCATCGATGAATCCAACCCCATTACCTGTGAGATCATGATGCCAACTTGTCCATCATAGATCCTGAACCTGCCCATGAGCGGTGAACTTATTAATTTTGTTAATGTGTTTTAGTATTAGAAGATCACAAACAACAAGCTCAAAGATCCCTTCCCATTCCATGCCAGTCATTATACTTTCAAAGGCGATAAGAGAGGCTAACACATGGGATCCAGAGGCATTGGACATCAGTCAAAGTAGAGAAGAGGAGACTGGGGGAATCCTTCAGTCCCTTCTTGCATCCAATTCAATTGGCTGGAGTTGTGGTGTGATTGTTTTAGATGGTCGTCTCCAAGAAAACCCCTGAGGCATAGGGTGCTTTGAGTTCCTTTCCCAGTCCATCTGAGGCAGATCCTGTCCAGGCTCCAGTTGTGGTTGATACCTCCAAGCCGAGGGACTTCTGTAAGCTTGGTCTCTTCTTTGGTTTTCCCAATGTCGCTGGAGGAGCTCTCTGGAATTGAGCTGTGGTCAAGGGTGGTAGTCATGGTGGGGAAGGATCATGGTGGGATGATTGGATTAGATTAAAGAAGGCTTGCTGAATCCCTGTGGACTGACAAGGATGGCGCTGGTACTGTTGAAGGAGTTTATGATGAAGAGGATGCTGAAGATAAGAAGCGTCGTCAAGGTCCATTAATAGCTGATGGAATAGGAGGCAGTAAATCAACAAGGTCAACGTGCGGCAATGGCAACAAGATGCAATGGCAACAGGAGGAGGGAGCGGTGGATAATGAGCAGTTGGATTTGACGTTGACTGATGCACTACGCTAAAGGCTTTTAGTGTAAGATCTTTCGAGTGGTTTGAGTTTGAGAGAATGAAAGTTCAGAGAGAGATTAGAAAGCTATGAAAACTAATCAACGAGAGAGATCACAACCAAAGGATCGTAGATCTGAAACTCCCGCGGAGACTGTAGAGTGTGATAGAGTAGTATGCGGTAGCAATCCTACTCACTCCACGATCCAAAAACAGAACGCGTGGAAAATTCGTCTAGCATTTATCTAGTACGTGGAAGTACTTCCACGCTGGCTAAATATCTAGAGCAAAGTTTCATCATCAACCTATAGACTTAGAGTGGTCCCATGAGAACCCGTCTTCAATGACTATTCACGAGAGACTTAGTCATGAGTTACGAACTCCACCCCTATCTAGGATCGAGTCGCGAATAAGGCTAAGAGCCGGATTGCATTCGCCCCCCTGACAAGGGTCACGGAATGCACGACATCAGTCGGACAAGTATAACATATGAATTAAAGCGCGGGGCAATCTCCGGAGAATTTCTGGTGAGTGATCTATAGGACAAAATTATGCAGGAA